GCTTGATTTTCCAGGCTGCTTTTTTTTAAGAAAAGAAATACTTTGGGGGGAGGGTGGTTTTTTATTAATAGGAAATTCCACCAAGAACTCTTTTACCCTTATTAACTGCTTAAATATTTTCTTTTTTAGCTCCTATATCACTGGCTGCAAAGTCTGCAACTTCGGCAGACTGAGTGTGTTGCCCACATCCTCCCAAAACACCAGAGACTTGAAATCCACCCTGAGCAAACTGTCATGAGTGGGGTATAGGCCACACAGGGAAGAGCTCTTAGCACAGCTCCCATGGTTGCCTCAGGCTTTTGTTATGCAGTTTCAGATGTTCCTGCGGAAGTTCAACCACAAAGACTAAGTGAGAAATTATATGTATTTATCACAAAGTCTGGCACATAGTAAGCACTTCATACCAGATACCTTTGTCCACATTATGACTTACCTAAAAAGAAAAAAAAATCAAGTACATTTAAGAAGACAACTGTTATGTGAGGTCTTAATTCCCTAGACCTCACATAGCTCTGTGATATGGAAAGAGAGACTCTCCTGGGGAGAAAAGGCCTCTGAGTGCCTATTTGATGAAACGCAAATAAAAAGGAACCAGGACTGGGCATGGTGGCTCACGCCTATAATCCCAGCACTTTGGGAGGCCGAGGCGGGCAGAACACCTGGGTCAGGAGTTTGAGACCAGCCTGGCCAACATGGTGAAACCCCGTCTCTACTAAAAACACAAAGATTAGCCTAATGTGGTGGCATGCACCTGTAATCCCAGCTACTAGGAGGCTGAGGCAGGAGAATCGCTTGAACCAGGGAGGCAGAGGTTGCAGTGAGCTGAGATCCTGCCATTGCACTCCAGCCTGGGTAACAAGAATGAAACTCCAGCCTGGCCAACAAGACTGAGACTGAGTCTAAAAAAACAAACAAAAAAAGGAGCCAGGCAGGTGCTGATTCCCCAGTGTGCTCGCCAGCATCCTTTTGGTGCTTTGTGAATGCCATCAGCCCTCCTGTTCTCTGTGTCTCTCCAAGTAGGCCCCGCAAAGGCTGGTGAGGGACATAGGCTCAGCCCATCTCATGTATCAGCTAGTCTGGACTTTGCACACTGGAACATGGTACTCAGCAGTTCTTGGCTGTTCCTGCAGATGCCCCCCATCTGCAGGAAGCTACTGAAAAAAGATACTGAAAAAGATACTGAAAAAGAAAGGTACTGAAAAAAGACCGCTTCTAAGGTTAAGTAGCAAAATGAAAGTGAGATTCCCGACAGTTTTCTTTTTCTGAGACAAAGACCCATTATCAGCTGTCTGTTTTCAGACATTGCTGAATGTCCCCTGGGGAGCAAAACTTACCCCCCTCCTCCCTCCCCATTGAGAAAAGCTTTTTTTTTTTGGAGACATTGTCTCACTCTGTTGCACAGGCTGGAGTGTGCAGTGGTGCGATCTCAGCTCACTTCACTGCAATCTCCGCCTCCCAGGTTCAAGCGATTCTCCTGTCTCAGCCTCCCAAGCAGCTGGGACCACAGGCATGTGCCACCAGCCCAGTTAATTTTTGTATTTTCAGTAGAGATGGGGTTTCACCACATTGGCCAGGCTGGTCTTGAACTCCTGACCTGGTGATCCACTAGCCTTGGCTTCCCAAAGTGCTGGGATTACAGGCGTGAGCCACTGTGTCGGCCTGAAAAATTTCTTTTTTTTTTTTTTTTTTTTGAGGCGGAGTTTCGCTCTTGTTACCCAGGCTGGAGTGCAATGGCGCGATCTCGGCTCACTGCAACCTCCGCCTCCTGGGTTCAGGCAGTTCTCCTGCCTCAGCCTCCTGAGTAGCTGGGATTACAGGCACGCACCACCATGCCCAGCTGATTTTTTGTATTTTTAGTAGAGACGGGGTTTCACCATGTTGACCAGGATGGTCTCGATCTCTTGACTTCGTGATCCACCCGCCTCGGCCTCCCAAAGTGCTGGGATTACAGGCATGAGCCACCGCGCCCGGCCGAAAAATTTCTTTAGTAACAAGATTACTCTGGAAATTTTAATATACTTAAACTTATCCATGTCTCAGATTAATCAGCGTGTTTATCCTTTTCCCAAACACAAGAACTTTAAAGTACTTTAATTTGCCCTCACCTATGTTTTAGCTGGTTTTAAAACTCATTGTTTAAATTTTTAAAAATTGTTTATCATTGACAAATAAAAATTGCATTTATTTATCACGTACGACACAATGCTTTGAAATATGTATACATTGTAGAATGGGTAAATTGAGGTAATTAACATATGCATTAACTCACATACTTATCATCTTTTGTGTTCAAAAACACTTAAAATCTACTCTCTTAGTGATTTGCCAGAGAAATGTGACAGAACCTGGAGTGGGGCAAGCAAGCCAAGGGTGGGTTATTTCAGGTGGGTGATATTTACTATGATTGTATATGACTGGGTGGGGTCTGTAGACAGGAAGCTGAAAAGTCTGGCTCCTGGTTAAAATCCATCATGTCATTTCCAGGCCCGGCTGTGGGCCACTCCAAGGCTGTACCTGGTAGGTCTAAGCGGGGGACTCCCTACCCATGCCTGACTTGGCACAGCCGGAGCACTGCAGGCCCTGGAGGGATCTGAGGTCAGGGTCTCAGGCCCCTGACCTGTCAAGTTCTTACACACACCTGCATTCCCAGCCGTGGCGCCTTCATTCCCAGGTCTCTCTATCCAGGCTCTTTCTCAGGTGCCTCTGCCAAGGCTTCCTTACACGAGGGAGAGGGTGAGGAGCGGAGAACCTTGAAAACACATTGTTACCCCCCTGACTCAGTTTTCACAAAGGTACTGTATCAGCAAAACCTCCAAAACAACAACTAAAAAGACAATAATTTAAACTAGAGATCTATTGTACAACCTGTGGTATGTTACTAACTATATAATCTGACATGATACGCTTGGGGAAAAAAAAGAGAAAAAAAAGTATTGTTTTATACAATGTTTGTTTAACCAGAATATTTACCAGTTTCTTGCAGCATTCATCTGGAATCAGTTTTCTTCTGTCTGAAATAATCCTTTAGATCTTTAATAAACATCTTTTGATGTCAAATTCTTGTTGGAGTCTTTATCTCTTTTCCTGACAGATGCTTTTTGCAGGATATACACTTCTAAGTTGACACAGTTTGTAATGCACATGAAAGGCATCCTGCCACTGTTTGCCTTTTTTTTTTTTTTTTTTTTAACCGCTGATAAATGATCTGTAAGTTTAGTTGTTTTTCCCCCTTGAAGGTAACCTGCCTTTTCTGGTTTTGGTGTTCTGCATTTTCACTCTGATATGACTTCTTCTTATTTGCCCAGCTTGATAATTGTTGAGATTCCTAAATTGGTAGACTGGTGTCTTTTATCATTGTCCTTTCAAATATTCACATACTGCTTTTGCTGTATTCTCTCTCATCTCTCCTTCTGGGACTCTGATCAGTAACCGGCATGTGATCGGTCATCTCACTCTATCCTTCATATGTCTTGCATCCTAATCACTCACATTTTCCATTCTTTTGTTTGTCTGTACTGTGCCCTGGATAATACCTTTTCTTTAAAAAAGTATAACAAGGTTTTAAAATTCAATTTCAAAAATAAATTTTATTTTCTTTTTATTTATTTTTTGCGATAGACTCCCTATCACCTAGGCTGGAGTGCAGTGGTGTGATCTTGGCTCATCGCAGGCTCCACCTCCCAAGATTCTCTTGCCTCAGCTTCCCAAGTAATGGTGATTACAGGTGTGCACTACCATGCATGGCTAATTTTTGTATTTTTAATAAAGATGGGCTTTCACTATGTTGGCCAGGCTGGTCTCAAACTCCTGACCTCAGGTGATCCATCTGCCTGGGCCTCCGAAACTTCTGGGATTACAGGAGTGAGCCACCGTGCCCAGCCAAATTATATTTTTATATACATGCAGCAAACATTGAAAAAACCTTCAAGAAAGCAATCACAGATGTACCCTCCCTATGATGGTTAATTTTATGTGTCAACTTAGCTAGACCATGGTACTGATTGGGTAAAACACTAGTCTTGATGTTGCTGTGAAGGTATTTTAAAAGATGAGATTAACATTTAAATTCATAGATTTTTGAGTAGAGCAGATTACCCTCCATGATGTGGGTGAGTTTCGCTTCTGTCACTTGAAGGAAGGTCTTAAGAGAAAAAACACCTGAGATCCCTTGAGAAGAATTAATTCTACCTCCAGACTGCTTTTGCTCATGCCGAAACATCCACTCCTCCCTGGGTCTCTAGCCTGTTGCTTTGCCCTGTTTTTGAACTTGCCAGCCTCCACAGTTCCTTAAAGGAAATCTCTATGCTCATTCTATTGGTTCTGTTTCTCTGGAGAACCCTGACTAATACACTTCCCTTCCTTCCTTCTTTTTTTTTTTTGACACAGGGTCTCATTCCACCACCCAGGCAGGGCCAGAGTGCAATTGCATAAACATAGCTCACTGCAGTCTTGACCTCCTGGGCTCAAGCTATCCTCCCACCTCAGCCTCCTGAGTAGCCGGGACTATAGATGCATGCTACCATGCCTAATTTTAAAATTTTTTGTAAAGAAGGGGTCTCACCATGTTGCCCAGAAAGGTCTCAACTCCTGGGCTCAAGTGATGCTCCCACTTCAGCCTTCCAAGTGCTGTGATTACAGGCCTCAGCCACTGTAGCTGGAGACTCCCTTTTTTGCTCAGTTCACTGATTCTCTCTTCAGCTGTGTCTAATCTGCTGTTAAGCCTGGCTAATTTAAACTTCTTCTGGCTTTTTAAACTTCTACAACTATACTTTTTATTTTTTTAAATAACAGATCTGGCCCTTGACTGCACCTTTTAGTTTTTGAAGCTTTAGACTGAGAGTTCCCAGATGACCCAGACCTGGTACCTAGCACAGTGCCTGGCTGACAGCAGGCAGGGTCTAGAAAGTACTTGTGGAAGGAGTGGACATCAAGGTGGCAAACTAGAGCCTTTTTCAGCATCTAACAATTACACACAGGTAGTATCATGAACACATACAGTGCAATAGACAGTAAAACTTTAATGGAGCACCAGCAGCATATAAAACATATATAGGTAGAAAAATAAATTCAAAGTACTCTAAAGAATTCAAAAATCCATGTTTTGTATAGCATTGAGCTGACCACCCTTGAGTTGAGGTTGATTTTCAGATCAGTCTATCCATAATCTAGTAGAATGTTAAATCTCCATTCTTATTCCTCATTTTAAATATTTCTGTTTCTCACAATTTTTTCTTTTTTGAGATGAGCCTCACTCTGCACCCAGGCTGGAGAGCAGTGCCATGATCTTGACTCACTGCAACCTCCTCCTCCACCTAGTTCAAGCGATTCTTCCACCTCAGCCAATCAAGTAGCTGGGATCACAGGTGTGCATCATCACGCCCAGCTAATTTTTTGTATTTTCAGTAGAGATGGGGGTTCACCATGTTGGCCAGGCTGGTCTCAAACTCCTGACCTCAGGTGATCCACCTGCCTTGGCCTCCCAAAATGCTGGGATTACAGGCATGAGCCACTATGCTCAGCCCTATTTCTCACAATTAAACATGATTCTTTTTTAGTGATATAAGAGGCTGAAAATTGCATTCTCAGTGGCCAACTTTTAAAAACATCATGAAAGCCTTTATAAGACAGTGAGTTCCCAAATGGAGTATTTTTGCCAAGAGAGCCTTTAAAATGTAGCTCTTTGGTTTCTTAGATAAGTCCAGGGTCTAGGAGTTCCAGACGTGGGGCTGGCTCAGGTGGCCTTGGCCCTCATTTGCTGCCCCGATCCCTCACTGAGGCAGATGTGAGATGGAGTGTGTCACTGTGCCCAGCCGAGTGTGTTTCCTTATCAGAGCCTAGCTCTGGGATCCCTGGCCAGGCGGGGTCCTGAGGCTGCGGCTGTCACCAGGATTCTGCTTACCACTCTCAGAGTCTTCTGTAATGACACTTAGCTTGTCGAAAACATCATTCTCATCCGAGAATGGAAGGGAGAAAAACAGAAGCGTGTTATGATGAGGATGGCCCAAAAACTGTGGAGAGAAAGAGGATAATGATTAATTTTCTTCATTTCTTTTTTGGGGTTTACAGAGATTTTTTCACAGAAAAAAATCCTGGCTAGAAAATGCTATTTTATTTTTTTGAGACAGGGTCTTGCTGGGTCACCAGGCTGGAGTGCCTGGTGCGATCATGGCTCACTGCAGCCTTGACCTTCTGGGCTCAAGCGATTCTCCTACCTCAGGCTTCTGAGTAGCTGGGATTATAGGCATGTGCCGCCATGCCCAGCTAATTTTTCTTTTTTTGGTAGAGATTAGAGATGAGGTCTCACCAAGTTGCCCAGGCTGGTCTCCAATTCCTGGGCTCAAGTGATCTTCTCACCTTAGCCTCCCAAAGTGCTGAGATTACAGGCATGAGCCACTATGCCTGGCCAAAAATGTGATTTTTATTTTAATTAATTAATTATTTTTGTGAGACAGAGTCTTACTCTGTCGCCCAGGCTGGAGTGCAGTGGCGTGATCCTGACTCACTGCGACCTCCATCTTCCAGGTTCAAGTGATTCCCGTGCCTCATCCTCCCAAGTAGCTGGGATTACATGTGTGCGTCACCATGCCTGGCCAATTTTTGTATTTTTAGTAGACATGGGGTTTCGCCATGTTGGCCAGGCTGGTCTCAAATTCCTGACCTCAGGTGACCCGCCCACCTCGGCCTCCCAAAGTGCTAGGATTACAGGTGTGAGCCACCACACCAGGCCATTCTTTTGACTTTTTAAAAATGTGGCTACTAGCAAATCTAAAATAGACATGGCTTGTGATATGTTGTCAGACAGAGCCATGTTCTTGCTTTCAATGGATGCCAACTCTTTTCAGTTTTGTGTCACCTGTAGCCAGGACTACTTAAGGGCAGGGACCACAGTCTGATAATCTTTGTCTCTCCGATGCTTTGACCAATGAAGATGCCCCTAGATGTTTCCTGAAATCTCTGCTGGTTTCTCACTCTCCATTCTTCATCTTCCTAGGTCCACCGATGCTCATAATCTTCATAATTAGATGGAGAACCTCATTCTCTAAAGCTTGGCATTTTGAATCCCTCCCCTCCAGATGGAACCCCTCTTAGTGTCACTTCTACACTCAGCCTTCTGATATGGCTTAATGAACTTGAGGGTGGCTGCACTACCTCCTGGGGTGGACCTGTCAGGATTTCCCCTCGTGGGTCTTGAGCAGCTGACGGAGAGCGGTGGCGGGGCTCCTCTGTTGGGCGAAGGAGGAGGATGGAGGGAAGGGGAACCTCTCTAAACTTCGGATCCAGTGGGTTAATGAGAATGGGCTGGAAGCTACCCTGGGTTTTCCTGGGATAATGGGGACAGGAGAGATCAAAGGAAGGTGTAGTAAATCTCGAGAAAGCAGTACCAGATGAGTCTCCTGGTTGGACAGACACACACGCGCACACACACACACACGTCATTGGCTCAATAGATGAGTGTCGGATGAACCTCCCTAGTGCTTTTTATTTTTTGACGAAGTCTTACTCTGACACCCAGACTGGAGTGCAGTGGCACAATCTTGGCTCACTGCAACCTCTGCCTCCCAGGTTCAAGCGATTCTCCTGCCTCAGCCTCCCGAGTAGTTGGGACTCCAGGCACCTCTCACTGCACCCGGCTAATTTTTGTATTTTTAGTAGAGACAGGTTTCACCACCTTAAACAGGCTGGTCTTAAACTCCTGACCTCATGATCCACCCACCTCAGCCTCCCAAAGTGCTGGGATACAGGCGTGAGCCACCGTGCCCGGCCCCTAGTGCTTTTTTAACTCAAAGTCTCTATTCCCAGCAAATCTCCCTAAACTCTAAATAATCCTCTGGGTCCTGGTTAATGGATTCTATATATTATGAGTGAAGCTGGAGGAGCTCATGATGTGAGGACCCCGAACTGCTCCACAGTTGTCTGGCTCTTCTCAAGCACTCTCCACCCGCTTCTCTGATTTCTTGCTCTTATAGGGGCTGGCTCCCCGTAAAGTCTTTGAAGTCTTCTAGCCTTGGAGGTGAGAGCTCCTGCTGACAGGCCCCCTGACTGTTCATCTGTTCTTTCCTGTCTGACCAGTTTCTTTAATGGTGAAACAAGAAGCAAAAATAGCAGCTGAATAATTTTGCTTCCTCTTGTTTCTCAGTTAACTAAACACCCTTGACCCAAGCAAGGGGCCCACCCTCATTCTTTGCTCTTCCTGCTGCAGCTGTGGCTTCTCAAAAGCTCATACAGGATTCTTTCTTCATTTTGGTGCTGCAGTCTTGTTGGCACTTTTTTTTTTTTCAGATCGAGTCTCTGTCTGTCACCCAGGCTGGATGGAGTACAATGGTGTGATCTCTGCTCACTGTAATCTCCACCTCCTGGGTTCAAGCAATTCTTGTGCCTCAGCCTCCCAAGTAGCTGGTATTATAGGCGTGGCTAATTTTTGTATTTTTAGTAGAGACAGGGTTTCACCATGTTGGCCAGGCTGGTCTCGAACTCCTGACTTCAAGTGATCTGCCAGCCTGAGCCTCCCAAAGTGCTGGGATTACAGGCGTGAGCCACTGTGCCTGGCCTGGCACTCTCTCTAGGGGGTTCTAGCCACTCTGAAATGCTTGCCTATGGTACTGTGCTCCACTTTCCATCCAGGGTAGACACTGTGCCGTGGTGCCCAGATCCCCTTTGTGGTGGAAGCACTTGGAGGAATATCGGAGGCTGAAATGGCTCACAGCTGTCTCTTTCTAGGTTGTACCCTTACCAGGCAGTTGTCTTGGCCAAGACTCCGTGCCCTTCCCAGAGGCAGCCTGCATCAGCTGACTGGTAATGCGGGGACAAGGGCCTGACATTAGCTATCACAATAGTACATTAATAAGACCAGACATGCAGGAAGTGGCAAGGCATTGGTGAGGCCCACACACTGCAGAGGGTGAGAAACTCACCCTGTAGAGATTCAGGGGCCTGCCACATCTGTGAAATTTGAGGGGACCCTTGGAGTGGGGCATGCCAGGATATTCTCTTTAAAGGACCGATTGCTGTATCTCACCCGCCACCACTAGGAAGGAAGTACTGTGCTGTGTAGGCCTCTTAGGCTTCTGGAGGCAGCACGTTCCACGCCTGGGAATACTGCTCCAATGTGTTTGTCAAACGACACAGGAGGCTGCTGACACTGAGGGGCCCAGAGCAGGAAAGGGGCCTGCAGGAGGTCCGGGACGTGGAGCCCGCGGCCCTGTGTACACCTCAGGACTGATGCATCAGCCACCAGTGACGGCCTGCGAGTCCAATCTAAGGAATGGGTGACTAGGCACATCCTTGAAGTGTCTGGGGTGGGGAAAGATGTTGGGTGGGGTTTATGGCAAATCCCAAGAGGAGAATTGCAACATAGATAAGAGAGTTCTGGGGTCAGGCAGGGCCATCTGCAGCAGATAATTATATCCTGTTTGAAAAAGCAGCCCCTGGAGCACTATGGGGACCTGGCAGACACAGAGCTTCTGACCAGGGACGTGAGGTGATCGTGTTGCCCAGAAGTGACCATCATGAGGCCTGAGACCCAGCAGGTCCTGAGAGGGGGTCAGAAGGTGCATGTCGGCCACCTGCAGGTGGCTCAAGCGCCTGTGCCCTCTATCCCTGTCGCACAGTGTGTGTCTGCCCACACGATGACCCCATGGGGGGACAGGTGCTTATGTCCAGCTGAAGAAGGAGGAAGGGCTGGCCCAGTTTCATGGCAAGGTTAGCATGGTACGTGGGCGCACACCAAAAGTGGCCCGCTGCTGCACTAAAGCCCCAATCAGGGAGAAAGCCTCCCCATGGGCGGAGCTCTGGTCATGTGTCTGGCCATCCCCTTTATGTGGAAAGAAAAGCGGCCCAAGATCCCAGGCAGGGGTCAGTGGTGAGGCTGGTGGTCAGGAGCCCCGGGGGAAGGAAATGTGGAAGATTAGGGACAGGACGTCTGGGGAAGAAGGACGTGGGGGGACCCGAGGGAGTGGCTGTAGCATGGAGATTTTTGTGTCCCATATTAACTCCCACTGATAGCGTGTGTCACAGACAGCGGACGGCCACAGAGACACAATGACACTTGTTTTTTAAATGGCCCATGAGTCAAGAATGGTTTTAGAGTTTTTAAATGATTACATTTAAGTGGTTACATAAGTGCCTACATAATTTTGATTTTATTTCTTGCTAACAGAACCTAAAAATATATAATTTTTAAAATTTTTAAAATTTTGAGACAGAGTCTTATTCTGTTGCTCAGGCTGGAGTGCAGTGGCGTGATCGTGGCTTACTGCAACCTCCACCTCCAGGGTCCAAGTGATTCTCCTGCCTCAGCCTCCTGAGTAGCTGGGATTACAGGCACCTGCCACCACACCCAGCTAATTTTTGTATTTTTAGTAGAGATGGGGCTTTGCCATGTTGGCTAGGCTGCTCTTGAACTCCTGACCTCAGGTGATCAGCCTGCCTCAGCCTCCCAAAGTGCTAGGATTACAGGGGTGAGCCACTGTGCTCGGCTTTCTAAAATATTTTTTACTTGGCCTGATTCTGACAGCAAATTGACAAGTGCAGAGACAGGCCATTGCCTGAGATGGGCCTGGGGACCAGAAGCTCAGTCCTCTCTGGGATGAGGGCTGGGTCATCCAATCACATCAGCAGGCTGATTGGCACAGGCTCCTTCCTGAGAGGAGGGTGGACCGTCAGGGCCAGCAGATCAAGCAGGAGCAAGCCCACAAGCTTTCCTTTGTGGTCCCGAGACCAGCGGCAGCAGTGGGGGCTGGAGTGCGTTCCACTCACCTTCCTCCTCTTCCCTCCCCAGGAAACGAGATCAACTTAGATCTCGAGGAGCTGCTTCCAGCAGATCCAAGTGGTTCCAGGGTGACTGTAGTGGATGCTGTGGTGCCTTCAGGAACGAGGCACTCGCGCCCCTAGCTCCTGGCTGCTGATGTGTCACCCCTCACCCTAGTTTAGGCCCCCTTCTTGGGGGCAGTCCATATCTAGCACATGATAGGGATACATGCCTATCCCTCTTGCCTTGGTTTGGGACATCTCTAGAGGGCCACCCCAGCTTGAGATGCCACATGGGATTGGCTGAGGCCTCTGTTGTGGCTGCGTGACAGCTCAACTCTCTCTCTGCCTCATCTGGCTACCTTCACTCCCTTAGGGTGCTATTTGCAAGGTTGTTCCCCATTAAGCTTTTTGAATGCAAATCTCTACCTTAGAGTCTGCTTCCTGGGAAATGGGACCAAAGACAGTTCCTTTTGGGTCTGGGGTTGGCATCTTTTCATTTTCAAGTGTCGGTGACTATCTAGGGTTTCATTTCTTTTTTTTTTTTTTTTTTTTGAGATGAAGTCTCGCTCTGTTGCCCAGGCTGGAGTACAATGGCGTGATCTCGGCTCACTGCCACCTCTGCCTCCTGGGTTCAAACTATTCTCCTTCCTCAGCCCCCCGAGTAGCTGAGATTACAGGCATGCGCCACTATACCCAGCTGATTTTTTATTTTTAGTAGAGACGGGGTTTCACCATGTTGGCCAGGCTGGTCTCGAACTGCTGACCTCAGGTGATCCACCCGCCTCAGCCTCCCAAAGTGCTGGGATTATAGGCGTGTACAGTTTCATTTCTTAGGGCGTCTTCAGTCCTGTTATCATTAGTCAGGTGCATCATTTCTTCTTCTAACCCTTTTAAAAGCAGCCTTCCTACAGTCCAGCATACACGTCCCAGAATTTCAATCACTCTCACATATTCCAAAACTGGAAATGCACCTCTCCTTCCTCCCATTCTCTCCCTCTGGTGATTCGCTAGCATTTAGCCTCCTTCTTCCACACTGAGCTCTGCTTTTCCCCCTCCTGCCCTAGAACCAGAACCTTTGCTCCCCAGGGACCTGGGGCTTTGAGTAGTGAAGGCTGGAGCAGGAGCAATGCCCAGGGGCAAGGAGGGCTACTGGACAAACCTGCGTCCCTTTCCTTGGGGCTGTTCCCTGACCTCATATGTCTTTGAAATGGTTACAAGAGAATGGACCAGCACACAAGATGTGTTTTTTTTTCCTGGAAAACATGTTGTCCGGAATTGAACAGCCTTAACTTGAAAGCAAAGCTCTGTCCAATCAAGGTTTTCAAATCCACATTTCACTCCATCCTACCTACCTCCTTCAGGTGCTGTGGAAGAGAATTCCCAGGGCAGAAGGCGTACTTTGTCTTCTTGTAAATGTACCACAGCAAGGCGAAGCAGCCGAGAAGTGCCAGGCAGACCACAAAGACCGAGGCCATGAGGATGACGGCCACCATCCAGGAGGGGACCGTTTCTGCCAGGGATAACGGGCGTGTCACATCCTTGTCACAGGTTGGGTCACAGTGATCCCAAGAGCATTTTAACCACCACAATCCTTGAGAACAGGACCTGGGCATTCATCTTGGGAGACGTCTCAGAAACACAGCAGCTGGTTGGAGGACCCAGAGGTTTTCAAAGAGTTTCATCCCTTTCCTATCTTCTCTAAAGTTTGGTTTCTGGAATGATTGCTGATATACATCAAAAGAATAACAAGGAAGAATTCTGATCCCCTGTGCCTGCTGGCAGTGTAGCAACGGGCCTCCCTGGGCTGAGCATATCACTTCTGCCTTGAAGCAGCAAGTGAGACTCCCCTGGACCCCTGAGCCCGAGTTAAACACAGGCACCATTGCATTCTATATTGAGAAAGACAGAAACTCTCTGCACGAACAAGTCTATCCAACCCCCTGCACTAGACCAGGTGTGATGGCTCACATCTATAATCTCAGCACTTTGGGAGGCCGAGGTGGGAGGATTGCTTGAGCCCAGGAGTTTGAGATCAGTCTGGGCAACACAGTAAGACCCCCTTCTCTACAACAAAAAAATGTTAAAGATTAGCTGGATGTAGTGGTGCACACCCGTAGCCCCAGCTCCTTGAAAGGCTGAGGTGGGAGGATCACTTGAGCTCGGGAGGTCGAGACAGTGGTAGTGAGCTATGATCGCACCACTGCACTCTAACCTGGGTGACAGAGTGAATCCCTGCCTCAAAAACAAAAACCAAAGCCAAGACAAACAAACCCTTGCACTAAGAGACTTGGCCACACCCCAGCATGGTTTCCAGCGGGCCAAGGTCACATTCCCCAGACGACCCAACCCCCTGAGTTCCTGTCCGGAAAAACCCCAGGCTGTCTAAGGCATGTGCCATTTGTTCTTCCAGCCCCTGAAGAGAGGCCTTGACTTTTGTTTCAGAGAGCATTTATTAAAAGGGGCTTGCAATGGTGAATCCTTCCTCTGTCCCTTTGAGACATCCATGTATCTCCCACAACCTGGGGACGTTTTTCTCAGCGATCTGAGAGCCATTCTTCTGAAATCATCAGGAAGGACAGGGCCTCTGTCTCCCCGTCTCTGTGGGAGGGTAGGAACCTAGCCTTAAGAAACGCCAGTCCACAGACACAGACAGCCTCCTGGCACTGACCAACCTCCTTCGTTGATTTAAAATTTTTTTCACTTCCCCGATTCTGGTCAACTCCCCACGCACACCTTTCTACTCCCTCATCCTCCCTTTATTCCTTTTGATCTTTGAGACAGAACCTCGTTCTGTTGGCCGGGAGCGGTGGCTCACGCCTGTAATCCTAGCACTTTGGGAGGCCGAGGTGGGTGGATCACCTGAGGTCAGGAATTCAAGACCAGCCTGGCCATCATGGTGAAACCCCATCTTTAAAAAAAAAAAAAAAAAAAAAGGATCTCGTTCTGTTGTCCAGCCTGAAGTGTGGTAGCATGAACATGGCTCACTTCAGCCTCAACCTCCAGGGCTCAAGTGATCCTCCCACCTCAGCCTCCCGGGTGGCTGGGACTACAGGAATGTGTCACCATGTCCAGCTAATTTTTAAAATATTTTTTAGAGACATGGGTTCCACTGTGTTGGCCAGGCTGGTCTCAAACTCCTGGGCTTAGTTTCCCAAAGTGCTGGGATTACAGGAGTGAGCCACCGTGCCAGGCCTCATTTTTTTTTTTTTTTTTTTTGAGATGAAGTCTCGCTCTGTTGCCCAGGCTGGAGTGCAATGGTATGATCTCAGCTCACTGCCACCTCCGCCTCCCGGGTTCAAACAATTCTCCTGCCTCAGCCTCCTGAGTAGCTGAGATTACAGGCATGGGCCACCACACCCGGCTGATTTTGTATTTTTAGTAGAGACGGGGTTTCACCATGTTGGCCAGGCTGGTCTCGAACTACTGACCTCAGGTGATCCACCCACCTCAGTCTCCCAAAGTGCTAGGATTACAGGTGTGTAGAGTTTCATTTCTCAGGGCATCTTCAGTCCTGTTATCATTAGTCAGGTGCATCATTTCTTCTTCCTAACCCTTTTAAAAGTAGCCTTCCTACAGTCCAGCATACACATCCCAGAATTTCAATCACTCTCACATATTCCAAAACTGGAAATGCACCTCTCCTTCCTCCCATTCTCTCCCTCTGGCGATTCGCTGGCATTTAGCCTCGAGGTTTTTCTTTCTTCCACACTGAGCTCTGCTTTTCCCCCTCCTGCCCTAGAACCAGAACCTTTGCTCCCCAGGGACCTGGGGCTTTGAGTAGTGAAGGCTGGAGCAGGAGCAATGCCCAGGGGCAAGGAGGGCTACTGGACAAACCTGCGTCTCCTTCCCAGCCTGAAACTGATCGGTCAGGGCTGAGAGACAACGTCAGGGCCATAGCTTTCTCAGCTGAGCTGCAGTTTCAGCTAGATGCAATCAGGTCTAGGGCAGGTGTCTATAAAGCTGTTTAGGATGCTTAGCCGAGGCGCATCTCAGGACTCACCGTCATTGTTTGTTTCCTCACAGACAGGCTCACTCCATTCCCCAGTTTTGTTCCTATCAGGAAGAAACCCTTGAACTTGAATACAATAAGTTGTCCACGGTTCCAGGTTTCTGAGGACCTCAAAGTCATACTGAGGAGTAATCTGAAGCTAGTAATGAAGACAAAAATAAGGCCATGACTCAGCAGAGAAAGGACACTTTTTTTTTCTCCCACATCTACCAGTTATAATCGCTGTTTTAGACTTGAAATAGGAAGAAGCGGGTAGCAGGTACTCCTCCCAGGTCAGGGTGCGCTGACGCCACTCAAGGGATGAACCAAGGACTGACTGTGATACCAACAAACCATCTCGGTTCCTGAATTCTCGAGCTTAAATGACACACAAGCCATACACTTCTTTTTTTAAAAAGATAAAGCAGGCTGGGTGTGTTGGCTCACGCCTGTAATCCCAGCACTTTGGGAGACTGAGGTGGGAGGATCACTTGAGGCCAGGAGTTTGAGACCAGCCTAGCCAACATGGCAAAACCCCATCTGGACTAAAGATACAAAAAATTAGCTGGGCATGGTGGCACATATGAATTGCTTGAACTTGGGAGGTGGAAATTGCAGTGAGCCGGGATCATGCCACACTGCACTCTAGCCTGGGTGACAGAGCCATACTCTGTCTCAAAAATAAATAAATAACCCGCTTTATTATTATTATTATTATCTTTTGAGATGGAGTTTCACTCTTGCTGCCCAGGCTGGAATGCAGTGCTGTGATCTTGGCTCACTGCAACCTCTGCCTCCTGGGTTCAAACGATTCTCCTGCCTCAGGCTCCTAAGTAGTTGGAATTACAGGCATGCACCACCATGCCCGGCTAATTTTTGTATTTTTGGTAGAGACGGGGCTTTTTTTTTTTTCAGACGGAGTTTCGCTCTTGTTACCCAGGCTGGAGTGCAATGGTGCGATCTCGGCTCACTGTAACCTCCGCCTCCTGGGTTCAGGCAATTCTCCTGCCTCAGCCTCCTCAGTAGCTGGGATTACAGGCACGCGCCACCATGCCCCGCTGATTTTTTGTATTTTTAGTAGAGATGGGGTTTCACCGTGTTGACCAGGATGGTCTCGATCTCTTGACCTCGTGATCCACCCGCCTCGGCCTCCCAAAGTGCTGGGATTACAGGCATGAGCCACCGCGCCCGGCAGAGACGGGGGTTTTACCACATTGGCCAGGCTGGTCTTGAATTCCTGACCTCAGGTGATCAGGCCTTGGCCTCCCAAAGTGCTGGGATTACAGGTGTGAGCCACCGCGACCAGCCGCAATTGGTTATTTCTCTTTTGGGGTTGGGGTTGTTGACAGCTTGCCTATATTCCTTTGTTGCATGAGAAGCTAAGCCCATGGGGATCAATAATTGGATTAGACTCATGGAATATATGAAGACAATGTGTTAACTTTCTAATAAGTAAATTAAAAGACCAAACCAATTCAAAGCAACAACTGAAAAAATGGTGGCTTGCAGTTCCAGAAGTCCAATGCCTCTAAAACCTTACAATGCAATTTTTTCAAAGATTAAACTCAGAGGCAAGCAGGTAAGGTGGTGGCATAGCAGTAGAGGGACCGTCTCAGTCCCCACTGGGGCTTTTTCACTTCTGCTTTTATCTTCTTGCTTTCTCCCAACAGGAAGAAAGAATTCCCGAAAGCCCTTCACCCTATGAGTTTAGGGACCGAGTCTGGCACCGTCTCAGGAATTTCTGCATTCTAGAGGGGAACCATATAAACCTGTATTGATACAAAATTAGCCAGGTGTGGTGGGGGTGAGGCAGGAGAATCACTTGAATCCAGGAGGCAGAGGTTGCAGTGAGCCGAGATCACACCACTGCATTCCAGCCTGGGTGATGAGAGAGTGAGACTCTGCCTCAAAACAACAACAACAACAGCAACTAAGCCTGTATTGGTGGTGGCATCACAGGTGACAGCAGCTGTGCGGCAGGCAGCCTTGCCACACTTGGTATGCCACACTGAAGGCTGCCACACAACTGGCCAAAGGGAGAGGACAAATGCCTAAGACGTTGCCGGTGCTGTGGGGATGTTTGAGATAAGAAACTAAACATGGGGTGGAGTCTGCATTCACATGTGCCTCAGGAGGCACCTGACCCTGCTTACTGTAGAACTGGATCCTTAACTGAGGTCTGTTGCTAGCTCCTAGAGGGGAGCCATCTGCTCTTATCTTTACCGCCCAGGGCTTAGCAGAGATGCCTGCATTTGATCAGTGATTGTATCAGAATTTATATGTTGAAACTTAATTGCCAATATGACAGGACTCAGAGGTGGAGGCTTTCTAAAGCAAGTAAGTCATGAGGGCAGAGCCTTCCTGAATGCCGTCAGTGACCTTAGAAAAGAGCAGCAAGGGAGCTGCTGATATCTTTGCCCTTTGCCTTTCACCATCTTGGAATCGGAGCATGCAGGTGCTCACCAGACACTGAATCTGCTGGTGCCTTGATCTTGGACTTTCCAGCCTCCAGAACTATAGGAACTAAATTTCTATTGTTTATAAGTCACCCAGCCTGTGGTATTTTGTTGTAGCAGCAGGAATGGACTAAGACACGGCATCATTTAATGAAACATTTTTTGGAGAAAAAAATTAACTTGAGATTTTTTTGGGCTATGCGGTATGTGTATGCAAATTTAACTACAGCATTCCTAAGATAATAACATGGGTGATCCCTTCTTCCCAAACTCTTTGAGAATTAAGTGGTAAAATCAACATTTAATGTGGAAGAGATAACACGTATGTATAACGTACATAACATATACATGTCAGTTTAGGACTGTGAACAGCATTCAGCTCAGAAGCATTAGGTATAAGAATAAAGTTTGGGCCGGGCACGGTGGCTCAAGCCTGTAATCCCAGCACTGTGGGAGGCCGAGGCGGGTGGATCACGAGGTCAAGAGATCGAGACCATCCTGGTCAACACGGTGAAACCCCGTCTCTACTAAAAATACAAAAAATTAGCTGGGCATGGTGGCGCGTGCCTGTAATCCCAGTGACTCAGGAGGCTGAGGCAGGGGAATTGCCTGAACCCGGGAGGCGGAGGTTACGGTGAGCCGAGATCGCGCCATTGCACTCCAGCCTGGGTAACAAGACCGAAACTCCGTCTCAAAAAAAAAAAAAAAAAAAAAAAAAGAATAAAGTTTGACCAAAGATTAATAAAAATAACCTTAACATGTCTAGCAAAGAGGAAGGAAACCTTATGTATTGACCATATATACATTGTTCCAAGCAATGGGATGAGTTTATATTTTCTATTATTGCATTAAATCCCCCAGCAATCTTATGAAGTAGGTTATCATCCTCATTTTATTAATAAAGTAAGTTATTATGCCCATTTTGCAGACTTGAGGAAGCTGGGGCCAAGAATGTGACCTATGCCACATGGTGGCAGGGGCAATAGTCCAATCAGATCTTTTGACTCCAAGCCCATATTTTTAAAGAAATTGTCCCCTGAAAAATACAGCAGCAAGGGGAAACTGGGCTCAGAAAGACACAATGTGACACTGGGCATCCAGCATCTAGGAGTGGCTGTCTTGACCATGGACATACCTAATTTGTGGTGTGTGTGGGACCCAGGGGTTGATGTCATGAGATAGTTGTCAATTTGCTGATAAATTCAGCCAGCTCCAAGTCTCCCAGCCAACTCTGACTCAGCTGTGCCTTCCCCTGCAACTGCCCTTCAGGGAGGGAAAGGTCTGCTGTCACTGTGCAGACTTTGTCCTGAAAGTGCTCTACACATATTCCTTGGGCGTCTGGGAAGCTTGAGCCAGAGATGCCAGTAACCCCTCATTCTGGGAAGCTCTTGGCTTACAGAGAACCAGTCCTTAGGTACTCTAGATCGTAAAGTGCTGCCACCTTGCAAGATTCTGCAAAGAACGTGAAAGCCTACTACCTCTGAAATGCAATTAGCCAAGCTTACCTTTTCATCAGTACCATTTTTCCAATATTGCACATTATAAGTCCATGAGTTATACACATTCTTCATAGTCCAAGTTTCATATTCATTCTCAATTTTGGGGGCTAAGAAACGCATATGTAAAGAATCAGCAAGTACTTCTACTTGCACTCCAGGGGGTCCAATAATGGCTAAGCATAAGAACAAGCAAAATGACAATCAAAAATCACATTTTAAAAACTTGATTTCAATATTAATTTTTCATAACCATGCAAAATAATTAGTTCATGGAAGTATACTACTTTGATACACCATTGTTATGACATTGATTGACACGGTTAAAGAGGATAGTTGGATTTAGTTTCTTTTAAAAAATCTGATAATCTTTGTCTTTATTAATCAAGTTTAGTCCATTTATGTTTATTATGGTTTCTGATACATTTGGAATCATTCCAACTACATCATTTTGTATTTTCTATGAGAATTTCTTTCAAAATTTCTATTTTATGTTTTTGGTATCTTTGCCTCTTTTTTTCCTGCTTTTTGTTGTCTGGAATTTTATTTTCTTTGCTAGGATGGAAGCTACAGATGGCATCTCTATTATTTTTAGTGGCCACCTTTACATGTTTAACATGTATAATTAACCATATATATTTCCAACAAAGTCTAAAGCTGTTTCCCTTCTGAATGCTCTTTTACTAGAAATTCATGTGATTGGCTCCTTCATTTGGGTCTCCGTTCAAATGCTACTTCTTCAGACAGACTGTATCTTACCACCCTATGTAGAAGCGCAGCTCCCATTACTTTCTGTCTTATTACCTTGCTTTAGTTTTCTTAAGAACCACAGTCACTACCTGTCATACAATATGTATCTATTTATTTATTGTCTGTCTTCCTGATTAGCACATATATGCTCCATGAGGGCAGGGATTTTGACTCGTTCACTGTTGTAGCTTCAGTGCTCAGAATGCTGCTGTTACTATAGACTGACTTGTAAATGGTTCCGGGCAATGGTGGTGTTTGAGTTGTCCTGTATTCTTCTTTGGCTGCCGGTTACTTTTTCAGGGCTGTTAATAAACCTGCTTCTACCATTCTAAAGTGCTTATCTGAAAACCAGATGAGAAAACTTGTTAAATGCTTTTCCAAAGCAAGTATAAAGAGGCTATGCATGGCTCCTGGAAGCGGTTTCCTATCACTAAAATATATAGATTTCAAGAGGCACATTCCAACATTGGGTAGTAGTTGCTAAGATATGGATGCCAGAGCCTGGGTCTGAATCCTTGCTTGGCCACTCATCATCTGTGTGACCTTTTGACAAGCTGCTTAACCACACTGTACCTAGCTAGGTTCTAAAGGGAACTTCCACGGATGGGAGCTAACAGAATTTGGGACAAGTTAGGACATGGTAAGCCAGTTAGCAATTATAGGAGCAAAACCTTGTACTTTTAACTATTGTGAAACTTACTTTTGTGTTCATTTTTTCTTTGTTTTTATAAAGGTACCCTTAGAAAAGATAATCTAACTTTGGTAATTTATGATTCCAAAAGTAAAAAGTTTTGCCTAGGCTTGGGATGGAATTGGGAAAGGGAAAAAAGGCATCCTAGCTTCATTCTCTACCAGGGAGGATGTAACTGGGGCCACGGTGGTCCAGAGCAGGGGACTGGCATAAAGACCCCTCCCCACATAGAGACAGTGCTTTTTTTGAGACAAGATCTCACTCTGTCACCCAGGCTGCTGGAGTGCAGTGGTGTGATAATGGCTCACCGCAGCCTGGACTTCCCAGGCTCAGGTGACTCTTCCACGTCAGCCTCCCAGGTAGCGGGGACTACAAGCACACTCCACCATGTCTGGCTAATTTTTGTTTTTTGGTATTTTTTTTTTTGTAGAGACGGGGTTTTGCCATTTAGCCCAGGCTGGTCTCAAATTACTGGGCTTAAGGCCAAACGTGGTGCCTCATGTCTGTAATCCCAGCCCTTTGGGAGGCCGAGGCAGGCTGATCACTTGAGGTCAGGAGTTCAAGGCCAGCCTGGCTCACATGGTGAGACCCTGTCTCTACTAAAAATACAAAAAAATTTAGCTGGGCATGGTGATGGGCACTTGAAGTCCCAGCTACTCAGGAGGCTGGGGCACGAGAATCACTTGAACCCCAGAAGTGGAGGTTCCAGTGATCACGGCACTGCACTCCAGCCTGGGTGTTAAAGCAAGACTTTGCCTCAAAAAGAATAAAAAAAGAGAAGAAAAAAATGTCTGGGCTCAAGTGATCCACCACCTCAGGCTCCCAAAGTGTTGGGATTATAGATGTGAGCCACTGTGCCTGGCCAGAGACAATTCTTTTTTTTTTTTTTTTTTTTTTTTAGTTTGAGACAGAGTCTGACTCTGTCACCCAGGCTGGAGTGCAATGGTGCAATCTTGGCTCACTGCAACCTTCCCCTCCCAGGTGCAAGCAATTCTCTGCCCCAGCCTCCCGAGTACCTGGGATTACAGGCACCCACCACCATTCCTGGCTAATTTTTGTATTTTTAGTAGAGAGGGGGTTTCACCATCTTGGCTGGGCTGGTCTTGAACTCCTAACCTTGTGATTCACCTGCCCTGGCCTCCCAAAGTGCTGGGCGTGAACCACTGCACCCGGCCCAGTGCACCACTGCATCACTAATTCTTTTAGTGCTTCTCTCTCTGTGAGTTTTGACGGGCTGTATGTGAGTTTTGTAAATCAGGTTCTTTTAACCCCAATCTTTACTCGCTCAATAGCTAATATATGGTTTAATTAGTTTTCAATCCCTGATATTTTAAATATGCTTATCTCATATTTAGGGAACTCTGGTGGGTCGCCATGACCCTCCAAACCTAACCTGGGAACAATATAGTTTTCTTTTTGATACCAAGTGTCACTCTATTGCCCAGGCTGCAGTGCAGTGGTACAGTCTCGGTCACTGCCCTCTCCGCCTAACCTGGAACAATTTTTGATGCTGACCAACCAGTCTGACCCAACCTATCCCTATCTGCCATCAGCCCTATCCCTCCCTCTGTCCCTTGCTCTGGGCAAGCTGGCTATCTGCATCAGATTTTCCATCTCTATACCTGCCTTCATTCTTTTGCCTATCACATTATATTTCTTGTTTAAGTCATAATTCCAGACTGACTTCCTTCCAGAAAATTCACCATCTGAATCCTTCCAGAACTTTTCCTTAACAGCACCAGCCCCATGGGCCCAACACATTCACATCCTCGAGGCACTAAAGGTATTAGATTTACATGTAATTGTTGTATTGATGCTCTGCCTACCCTTTGCTGTCTCTCCCATGGATTTCTTTAGGGATACAACTCTATTAGATTCCTTAAGCCCCTTATGCAAGGCCATCCATTTGTGAGTCCTCAAAGAATTCTTGTTGATGGACCAACCAATGTGGAAAAAAAACAAGGCAAGATGATGACATTATAAAAAAAGGGAAAACAAAATGGCTTACTGTCATCCACAGGACAGAAGGTGATGTTTACCCAGTCAGAATGCTCATCTGCAAATTCAGCCCTGACTCTCAAGGTGTGGTCACCATACTTGGAAATACTTGAGAAATCACATTCCGTCGAGGTAGTACTCACGCATATATCTTGGAATGTCCTATAACTACACAATCAAAAAGATAGGTAAATCAGGAGAGTTCTAGCTTCAGTCTCCCTGAGGCTGACTGGTATTTAATTTGCAGAAGAAAACTCTGTTAAACATAGAAATAGGTGTCTTCAAAAAAGAACTTCTCAGAGACTTGAACATCCGAATGACTACATGCCTCTCCAAGAGGCTGAGTATTCAGCATCTTTGACCAAGAAAGCTTCCTTCCTTGAATATATATTTTTGAAAATGGGGGCACATGATTTATGAGACATTGATTTACATAGATTTACCAAAATAAAGATATTACAATGATTTTCAATAAAGTCCTGTGCTGCATAACGACATTTCTGTCAATGACAGACCACATGTACAACGGCGGTGTCCTACGATAACAATACTCTATTTATACTGTAACTTTTCTATGTTTAAATACATTTAGATGCACACATACCTCGTTTCATTGTGATTTGCTTTATTGTACTTCACAGATACTGAATTTTACAAATTGAAGGTCTGAGGCAACCCTGCATTGAGCAAGCCTGTTGGTGCCATTTTCCCAACAGCACATGCTCACTTCAGGTATCTACGTCCCATTTTGGTAATTCTTGCAATATTTCAAACCTTTTCATCATTACTATATCTGTTATGGTGATTTGTGGTCAGTGATTTTTGATGTTACCATTGTAATTGTTTTGGGGCACCATGGACCACACGTATATAAGACACTGAAATTAATCAATACATGTGTGTGTTTTGACTTCTCCACCTACTGGCCATTCCCCTGTCTCTCTCTTTGGGCCTTCCTATTCCAAAAGCTGGAAATGAGTAAGCTTAGTGAGGAAGCATACTGAAGGCCACAAGAGGCCTCTTGGGCCAAACAGCCAAGTTGTGAATGCAAAGGAAAACTCCTTGAAGGAAACTAAAAGTGCTACTCCAGTGAACACGTGAATGATAAGAAAGCAAAACAGCCTTATTGATAACATGGAGAAAGTCTCAGTGGTCTGGGTAGAAGATCAAACCAGCCATACCATTCCCTTAAGCCAACATCTAATCCAGAGCAAGCCCTCAATACTCCACTTCTGTGAAGGCTGAAAGAGGTGAGGAAGCTGTAGAAGAAAAGTTGGAAGTTAGCAGAGGTTGGTTCATAAGGTTTAAGAACAGAAGCCATCTCCATAACATAAAAGTGCAAGGTGAAGCAGCAAGTGCTGATGGAGAAGCTGCAGCAAGTTACCCAGAAGATCCAGCTAAAATCTAGCTAACACGATGAAGGTGACTACTCTAAAAAACAGATTTTTAACGTAGATGGAACAACCTTCTATTAAAAGAAGATGTCACCTAGGACTTTCATAGCTACAGAGGAGAAGTCAATGCCTGTCTTCAAAGCTTCAGAGAACAGGCTGACTTTCATTAAGGGCTAATGTAGCTGGTGACTTTAAGTTGAAGCCAACATTTGATTACCATTTTGAAAATCCTAGAGCTCTTAAGAATTATGCTAAATCTACTCTGCGCTCTACAAATGGAACAACAAAGCCTGGATGACAGCACATCTATTTACAGCATGGTTTACCGAATACTTTAAGTCCGTTATTAAGACCTACTGCTCAGCATGAAGTTTTCTCTCAAAATATTACTGCTCATCGACAATGTACCTGGTTACCCAAGAGCTCTGATGGACATTTAAAAGAAGAGGAATGCTGTTTTCATGCCTGCTAACACAACATCCATTCTGCAGCCCATGGATTGAGTCGTTTTGACTCTCAAGTCTTATTATTTAAGAAATATATTTTGAAGCTAGGCACAGTGGCTCATTCCTGTAATCCCAGCACTTTGGGTGGCCAAGGTGGGGCGAGTCACTTGAGGTCCGGAGTTCGAGACCAGCCTGGCCAACATGGTGAAACCTTGACTCTACTACAAAAAAAAAACAAAAACAAAAACAAAAATTAGCCAGGTGTGGTGGCACTACTTGGGAGGCTGAGGCAGGAGAATCACTTGAACCCTGGAGGTGGAGGCAGCAGTGAGCTGAGATCATGCCACTACTCCAGCCTGGGCGACAGAGTGAGACTCCGTCTTAATAAATAAAATAAAATATATTTTGTAAAGTTATAGCTGCCATTGATAGAGTTTCTCTATGGATCTGGGCAAGGTAAATTGAAAACCTCCCAGAAAGGATTCACCATTCGAAATGCCATTAAGAACATTGGTGATTCGCCGGAGGAGGTCAAAATATAACATCAATAGGAGTTTGGAAGAAGCTGATTCAAACTCTCATAATTTAAGGGGTTCAAGACTTCAGTGGAGGAAGTCACTGCAGCTGTGTGGTGGAAACAGCAAGATGACTGGAATTAGAAGCAGAACCTGAAGATGTGACTGAATTGCTCCAATCTCATGATAAAACTTGAACAGATGAAGAGTTGTTTCTAATGAACGAGCAAAGAACATGGTTTCTTGAGATAGATTTGTTCCTGGTGAAGATGCTATGAATGTTGTTGAAATGACAACAAAGGGTTTAGAATATTACATAAACTTAGTTGATAGAGCATAGCAGGGTTTGAAAGGATTGATTCCAATTTTGAAAGAAGTTCTGTGGGTAAAACGCATGTCATGCTATAGAGAAATCTGTCAAGAAAGGAAGAGTTAATTGATGCGGCAAACTTCATTGTCATCTTATTTCAAGAAATTGCCACAGTCACTGCAACTCAGCAACCATGACCCTGATTAGTCAGCAGCCACCCATATCAAGGCAAGACCCTCCACCTGCAAAAGGATTATGACTTGCTGAAGGCTCTGATGATTGCTAGCACTGTTTAGCAAGTAAGTATTTTAAAATTAGACTGTGCACATTTTTTTAGACATAATGCTATTGCTCACTTAATGGACTACGCTATAAACCTAACTTTTACATGCACAGGGAAACAAACAAATTCATGTGACTCACTGTATTCTGGTTTTAGCTTTATTGTGGTAGTCTGGAACCAAATTGTCTTATCTTTGTGGTATGCCTGTATACAAATACCACTGTGTTACGATTGCCTATGGTACTCGGTAGAGTAACATGCTGTATACGTTCACAACCTAGGGCAATAGGCTACACCACATAGTGTAGGTATATACCAGGCCACACCATCTAGGCTTGTGCAAATACACTGTATGATTTTCATACAACAAAACTGTCTAATGATGCATTTCTCAGAATGTACCCCAGTTGTTAAGTGACCCATGACTGCCCTGTCCTATAAATGACTATTATTGAAATTACTCTGGAAAAATTATAAAGCAATGCATTAGTCTCAATCAGAACACCAGCCCAGACAGCAATCACTAAAGGGGGCATGACAGAAAGTGAAGTGGAAGGAAAGCAACGGTGTTTGGAAATGCCTGTTGGATGTGTTGGATGCTAGTGAAATAGAATCCCCTGAATCTAAGCTGGCAACAGCCCCAGGAGGTGTAACTGGCTGCATATGATCAAGGAAGCCCAGGCTCTCATCCTGCAAAAAGTAGGGAGTTGCCTGGCTCAGTGGCTTATGCCTGTAATCCCAGCACTTTGGGAGGCCGAAGCAGAGCCTCGCTTGAGCCCAGGAGTTTGAGAACAGCCTGGACAACATGGTGAGAGTGAGAGTCCTTGTCTCTATAAAAAAAATCAAAAAATTATCTGGGTGTGGTGGCATCTGCCTGTGGTCCGTGCTACTCAGGAGGCTGAGAGGAGGGAAGCTCGCTTGAGCCTGGGAGGTGGAGGCTGCAGTGAGCCATGATCGCACCCTGCATTGCAGCCTGGGCAACAGAGTGAGACTATCTCAAAAAATAAAATCAAATAAAATAATACACAAGCGAGGAGCTATTTGATTGGTCCCCCAAGGCATCTTCTGGTGCCAAAATCAATTTGGTTGCTCCCAGAAGTGATGGTGATAAAAATAACAACAGCCAACATTTATTAGGTCCATAGGGGTCAGGGGTGGAGAGCCTGAGAAATCTGCCTGACTGAACTCAGATCTGTCTGGCTTCATAGTCTAAGGCAGCATATCACACCTTGCGGCATGCTTAGTGATGCCTAGAACAATCCTGTGCAAAAAGTAGACAGAGATAATTGGGCTCATGCTATTTTTTCACTTAATATACCACAAATATCTGTCAATTATTTCTTCACAGCTGCTTAACATCCCATCATTTGGAAAATCCAGGGGTCATTTCATGAAAGGGGTTTTCTCACATGTGGCCATGTCTTTTTTTCCTCCCCTCCTCCCTCCTTTCTTCCCTCTTGTTTGCCTTCTTTCCAATTCAAGTCTGGCTAATTAAAAAAAAAAAAAAATTGTAGTGACAAGGCCCTACTATGTAGCCCAAGCTGGTCTTGAATGCCTGGCCTCAAGTGATTGTCCTACCCTGGACCCCCAAAACACTGGGATTACTGTTGTGGGCCACTATGCCTGGCCCATTTCCTTCTTTTAAACGAATGCATCAATTGTCCAGCATATTTAATATTTCAAAGGTTGTTTTGCAATAACTTCTTTTTCACTAAGTTATTATTTTTTTGAGACACAGTCTCACTCTGTCGCCCAGGCTAGAGTACAATGGTGTGACCTTGCCTCGATGCAACCTCTGCCTCCTGGGTTCCAGTGATTCTCCTGCCTCAGCCTCCCAGGCATGCACCATCGTGCCTAGCTAATTTTGTGTTTTTAGTAGAAATGGGGTTTTGCCATGTTGGCTAGGCTGGTCTCGAACTCCTGACCTCAGGTAATCTGCCCACTTCGGCCTCCCAAACTGCTGGGATTATAGGCGTGAGCCACTGCTCCTGGCCTTCACTAGGTTGCTTTATTGCATGTACAAATATTTCTCTCAACATTAAATAGGTAACATGACCTGTTCCTCATATTTACATCTAATTATTTTGGATGTTCCTAAATTAAAATCACCAGTACATCCTCTGAAGTGCCCCCTGCTCTGGCTGCCCTACCCCAATGCACACAAACAACAGAGAGTTTGTGCGATGCAATTGCTCATGCTAAATTCTAAACAAGCCTTTTGTAGAGCCACATATGGGTAACATCTTTTGGGGTCAAGGACATGCCCAGCACATATTTTGTTTTCTCCAGCACAAACCATACTCACTCTGTAGTTCCATGAGGGGAGACCAGGAACCCAGGTATGGATACCCTCATGAAGTCACTTCATGAAGTCACTGGGATCTCTAACGTAAAAGATAAACATGCAAAGCCAAAGGCCTCAACTATAATGGCAAAAAAGCACGGCATGGGTTGGGTGAGGTGGCTCACGCATGTGATCCCAGCACTTTGGGAGGCTGAGGCAGATGGATCACTTGAGGCCAGGAGTTTGAGACCAGCTTGGCCAACATGGCGAAACCCTGTCTCTTCTAAAAATACAAATATCAGCTGGGCACGGTGGCACATGCCTGTAGTCCCAGCTACTTGGGAGGCTGAGGCAGGAGAATTGCTTGAACCCAGGAGGCAGAGGCTGCAGTGAGTGCAGGTCACACCACTGCACTCCAGCCTTGGTGACAGAGTGAGACCCTTTCTCAAAGAAAAAAAAAAACCAAAAAACCAAAAGCATAGCACAAAACAACAAAAAAATAAACTACAGGGGAGACAGACAGAGAGGAAAGTTAATTTTCCACAGTAAAATCTCTGTGGCTATCCAGACTGAGTAGAGAAAACACAGAAAGCAAATAATAAAGCCAGTCAGTACTAGAACATGCACATCAGGAAAATATCAATTGTAGAATGGCCTCCTTCAATCCTTGGGACGGGTGACAAAACTGGACTAAGGACTGTAGATTAGACATGAGCGTTGTATTAATGTAAAAGTTCCTGAGCTTCTCACCGTACTATGTGATTTGATTATCCTTGTTCTTGTGAAATACACACTGAAATATTACAGCACAGAGGGCAGGAGAGAGAAAGAGGGAGGGAGAGAATGACATTAAAAATTGGTGAATCTGGTTATAGGCCATCTGGAAATTCTTTGTATTATACATGACTTTTGAAATGTTCTGTTAGTCTGGAACTAATTTTAAACAAAAAGTTAAGAAACAAAAGCAAGCAACGCATAGCCAAGGACCAGCCTTCTACTTCTCTGAGGTAGCAGGCCTTGGGGATTTTTGGGAAATGACAGCTGGATGGGTGGGAGCCAGGGATTGATGGGATCTGGGACCAGGTTTCCTCCTGCCTCACTGAAGGACTTGTCTATCTTTGTATGTTTCTGAGTCACGTAAAAAGCAGGTGTGTTGGCTTGTCAGCCTTAGGCCTCCTGCTGCTGTTTGCGCCTGGCCTAAAGGTGCGTCACCTGCAGTCCAGCATGTGGCGTATGGTGGCAGGCTGCCAAGGCAGTGCTGGCACTGACTTCCTTCACCAGGCATAGGGAAACACTGACAGGCAGGAGAGGCAGAGGGAGTTCAGACCCCCGCTGAGATGACCATCTAGGGTGACATTCTCTCTTCCTTCACAGCTCCTGCTGCTGTCAGAGAATGGGGCTTTTAACAGTCAGTAGCTGTCTTTCTTTCAATTTCAGGATGAAACCACAGAGAAACTGAGTGTTCACTATGCAAAGTATGTGCATCGCGCAATACTGGGGCGTGCTGCTGCTGTTCTAACCCATCGGGGGGAAACAGGCAGTGTATGGTAGCCAGGGGCTTCCTGACTGCTTTGCATACCTCAGTTTCTTGGTTAGCATCCACTCAACATTGTTGACTCTTAGAAATACTACTCATACCCGGAGATGACAGCAGTAGTATTTTTCTTTTAAAATATACCAGCTGTGACAACCAAGCTGGGTTCTGTACATACAAGGTGACCACTATGGCTGATTATATCTACATATGCATGATAAGCAACAGTCAAATCATCAACCATCACAACCAGAAAACCTAAAAGAGAAAAGGTGGCCACAAGAATTTCCCAGACAGAAAAAGGCCAGCAGGGAGGCTCCCTGAAAGCTGTCACAGTCATATGGTGACAGCAGTCAGACTCCCTTCCTCCTGTGGCCCAGCCCAGTGACCAGCTCAGGGCCGGCTCCTCCCATGCATTCCTGCCAAGAGTGAGGTCAGACCCACCTTTGGAACTGAGCTGTGAAAGTCAGGTTCCCTTTGGTAAAAGCAGGTGACTCCCACTGTAGAATGTTCTTGAAATTAACAGAATTCATTCTGACATTTTCAGGAGGTGGCACCATTCCCAATGCTAAGAAAATAAGAGAAAAGCATTTACGGCCCTTTTCCTCAAAATGGTTGCTCATGAAAAAGCCCACATCCAGCACTTGAATCTCCTCTGTGGCTCCATGTCTTCAAAGGCCTCGTGGATGAGGGAGGCAGAGACAGGTTGGCTCTGCTGGAGTCTAGATTTTCTTTGAGGAGCCATGAGGAGAAATTTCTGTAGGGGCAGGAGTAAAGTGGGGACATGTAAAGGAGCCTGATTTGTGTGGTGGCAGAAAGCTATGGGGGATAGGGTGGGGTAGATGGATTTCAGATATATTTCCAGAGATAAAAACAAACTGGAGACTTCCTGATACATTTGATGCATAAAAAGCTGAGGCTAATGTGCATTTTGGGCTTAAGCACCGGTGCCCCGATTGGAGCTCAGCTGGGGAACTCACGAGTCCCATCTGAGCTGCATTAGGTTGGAGATGCTGGAGAGAGGCTGAAGTAGGAATGTCAGGGAGACAGCAGGATGCATGAGCCCAGAGGTCACACCCAGAAGAGATTTGGGCTAGAGACAGAAATTATTTTTAGACCTTTTAATAGAAAATTCAAAACCTGGCCAGGTGTGGTCACTCCCACCTGTAATCCCGCACTTTGGAAGGCTGAGGTGGGTGAATCACCTGAGGTCAGGAGTTTGAGACCAGGCTGACCAACACTGTGAAACCCCATCTCTACTAAAAATATAAAAATTAGCCGGGCGCACTGGCGCACGCCTGTAATCCCAGCTACTCCGGAGGCTAAGGCTGGAGACTCGCTTGAATCTGGGAGGTGGAGGTTGCAGTGAGCCGAGACTGCACCATTGCACTCCAGTCTGGTCAATACAGTGAAACTCCATCTCAAAAAAAAAAAAAAAAAAAAAAAGAAGGAGAAGAAGAAGGAGAAGGAGAAGGAGAAGGAGAAGGAGAAGGAGAAGGAGAAGAAGAAGAAGAAGAAGAAGGAGAAGAAGAAGATTGGAAACCTACATGCAAATAGAAAAGTAGAATAATATAATAAACCACCATCCACCCCACAACTGGTATCGAGAGAGAGATAAATGTGCGAGTTATGGGCCTATAGCCCATGCTTAATGCCAGGCTTTGGCTGAAATCCCCCAAAGGAACAGTGTTGGGGAAGGAGAGAAGAGGCCTCGGGCACCGCAATTAGCTACACAGAGACGTGCCAGAACAGGAGAGTTCACGAGAAAGGAAGGCGGTGACCATCGTGTTATTGGAACCTAGGCAGTAAATTAAGAGGAGGACAGCGCCAGGCGCGGTGGCTCACGCCTGTAATCCCAGCATTTTGGGAGGCTGAGGCGGGCAGATCACGAGGTCAAGAGATGGAGATCATCCTGGCCAACATGGTGAAGCCCCGTCTCTACTAAAATACAAGAGTTAGCTGAGTGTAGTGGTGGGCGCCAGTAATCCCAGCTACTTGGGAGGCTGAGGCAGGAGAATCGCTTGAACCCGGGAGACGGAGGTTGCAGTGAGCCGTCAGAGCGAGACTGTCTCAAAAAGGTTTCAATGAATTAGATTTAGAAGCTACGGAGCTGGGGCGCTGCGGGGCAGAATCCAGATTTCAGGGCGCTGAGGCCTGACCCGGAAGGAGGGGAAGTGCAGCGGGTGATGGGGGCGTATCTGTAGGGAGAGCTGGCACTGAGGGGGGCAGAGACTTGGGGTCTGGCTGTCAGAGCGCTGGGGGCTTCCGGGGGCCTCCACTTGACCTGATGGTCTCCAGAGGGCCAGATGACAGCCACGGTGGGACCTTGGGTCTTTTGAGGAAGCTACTTTACTTAGACGCCCGCCGGCAGACAGATGCAGGAGGAGGAGAGGGAGTCAAAAGACGCCGGGAGTCTCCCCTTGAGTTTAGGGCCCAGACCGTCGGTAATCTGGTGCGGGCAGGGCTTCCTCCGGTTACAGAACCGACGGCAGCGGCAGCCCAGCCCCCTCTCAGCACCCCGGCCGCAGCGTTTGCATCTCCGGTCCCGAGGCCCCGATGGCCCGACCGGGCACTTGGTCACTTTCAGGGCGCCCAGGGGTGGGATCAAGGGTGGCATCTGGCGGGGCCTCCCGGTTCCCAAGCTCGTCCCCTCCCCGCGGACCCCTCACCTGACACCAGCAGGCAGCCGCCCAGCCAGCTCCCGAGGCTCCGCGCCATGGCCGCGCCGGCTGCCCGGGCGGGCCCTGGGGGTGCCGCGGCCTCCGCCAGGCACACGACCCCCGCCTGCGCCCGGGAGCGCTTCTCCTCGGTCGCTTCCGGGAACCGGCGGGGCGGGGCGGGGCCGGGCGACCGGGCTCCTCTCCCGCTGCAGGCCCCACCCCATGGCCCGGGTCCGCCCGCGAGGCTCCTGCGCTTGGCAGGTGCACAGGAGGAGGCGAAAGCTTTGAAAGGCGCCGTCAAGTCAAATGAAGACCCTACAACGCCAGGCCAGGACGGACATTTGGATGCTGGAATGACGGTGGTGACAGTGGCTTTCCGTATTTTCTAGGTTTTGTCCCAAGCACAGGCACGCCCTCTCTTAATGCCCTCTCTCCGCACAGGTGAGTTAAAAGCACTCCATCAGCAAATCCAGTTTGAGAGGGTCTTCTTTACCATTCTCCTCCCCAGGGATAAATAACACAGAGCCAAGTCATTTATTACGCAAATTTCTTTCAGTGACTGCTGAGAAGGCGTTAATTTCCCCTTTTTAACTTGATGAGTGGTGAGATGGGAAATTCCAGAGCTGTCCAACGTTTTGGGTAATGTACAGCACCGCCTGATGTCTGGCGCTAGGACACCACGTGAAGTCGAGCAGAGGGAGGTGAATGCGCCCTAGGCCTCTGCAGGCCACCAAATAGAGCTAGAAGGAGTTAGTGCAATCCTAGGGAAGCCAGCAGATGCACCAATCTGTGGCACAAATACACTCTCCAATGGAAAACAAGAACACACAAAGTTTGTATTAAAACGTACTGTATTATTCTTTACCAATCTCCAATCACTATACAAAATTAAAAAAATACACACACACACAGACACACACACGCAGCCATAGAGGTTATCTCAAAAGATGAACCCAGAAATCTTTCAGAATGAGATGCATTCAGAAGGCAGAGAAACTGATTACATATACAAAAGGTCTCTTTCCTAAGAGGTTCCCTTGTCACAGCCCTATCCTTTTGAGTTACTTTTGAGCAATCATACAAATAATCTATTCAAAGTCCTTGAACTATGACTTGTATAATTTAAGTTTTTCCTTTTTGAAGGGGCTACGAGAAAGGTTTGAGAAACTGGCTTTTGGGAGGGTGAGGGCAAGAGGGTCCTATGCCTTTCATTCATCCTGGGAGCCTCTCAGGGTTGCAGCATTTCCACCTGAGTGTTTATTCTTGCACATTTTGTCATCTTTCTGCTGGGTTCATAGGATCTTGGAAATTACCTAGTCCAATCTCTTTATTTCAGAAACAAGAAAACCGAGGCTTAGAGAGGCTGAGTCAAATGCCTAGGGTCACACAGGGAAATTCTGGGAGTTGGATTCCTGAGTCCCAGTCCTTAAACTGTTTGCTACATGACACTCTAGAAATTCCCTCCTTCCCCTCCCCGCCCTCCTCCCCCTCGCCTTTTCTTTAAGACAGGGTCGGGCTCTGTTGCCCAAGCTGGAGTGCAGTGGCGCGACCTTGGCTCACGGCAACTTTTACCTCCTAGGCTCAAGCCGTTCTCCCACCTCAGCCTCCCAAGTAGTTGGGACTACAGGCACATGCCACCATGCCAATTATTTTACTTTTCGTAGAGACAGACTTTTGCCATGTTGCCCAGGCTGACCTTGAATTCCTGGCCTCAAGGGATCCACCTGCTTAGGCCTCTCAAAGTGCTAGGATTAGAGGCAGGAGCAATTGCCCCTGATCAGACTTCCTTCCCCCCCCACCCCGCCCAGATTCACAGGAACTGTAATCACCTGTAGTGCATTCGATTCAGAATCAGCACAGAGAGCACTCTGAAAATTGTCAGATAGGGTCTCTGAAACTTGTATGCCATATTTCTCCTGAAGACTTTGAAGCACCTTTGTGTTTGCTTTTTTTAATCTTAAAATATGGCACTCAGATTTTTATCCCTCTCCCCGAGGCCATGTTTCCCCTCTGTCGTCATCACTTGTTTAATCCTAGAGTCTATCTTTCCCACTTTAATTGGGGAGGGCTGGACAAGGTGGAACTCTGAGTGAAGGAGACAGAATGTGACATGGATGAGGCACCCAAGGCTCACTGACTGAAGCTTGGATGGCTCTTCCCTGTTTCCTTGTGCAGGGCCCTCCTTCTCTCCAGGTGCTTACTGGTCCCTCCTCCTTCTTTCCTGCCATCTTTGAAGCTCTTGCTAAGTATTTTCCTTTTCTTTCCCTGCTCCCACCCTGGCCCAATTTATTTCCCAGAAAAATCATAGGGGTGGCCAAGCACAGTGGTTGACACCAGTAATCCCAGCACTTTGGGAGGTGGAGGCAGGCAGATCACCTGAAGTCAGGAGTTCAAGATCAGCCTGGCCAACATGGTGAACTCCCGTCTCTACTATAAATACAAAAATTTGCTGGGCATGGTGGCAGGTGCCTGTAATCCCAGCTACTTATGAGGGAGGCTGAGGCAGGAGAATTGCTTGAACCCAGGAGGCAGAGGTTGCAGTGACCTGAGATCATGCCATTACATTCCAGCTTGGGTGACAGAAGGATAGTGTGTCTCAAAAAATAAAAAAAAAAAGAAGTAGCAGGGCCCTGGACCACCTCTGAAACCACTGGGAACCCTGCTTCCTGGGAAACATGATGTAGAGACATCCTAAGTACATTAGTGCAAAGGGAGGAGCACACATGTTTCCTTCAAAGTGCATCACCTTGAATATGTAAACAACACACTGAATTGTACTATGCTCCCCATACTGGGAAGCTGCATAGGTGATGTCACCTGGAAGAATGGGGCACTCTACAGTTTCCTACTCCTTCTCTTGGAGAACACTCGCAGACCATAAAGCAGCGAGTGAGGGGACAAGGAGAGAGAACCCTCTAGGTGCTAGTCTGTTCAAGTTCATTACATAGTTTTGGAGTCATCTCATTATATAACCATCCCCGAGGTCAGCATCTGACTCAGAAGTGTCACTTTGATCAGAGGAAGCATCTTCAGGGCACAGGCCCTCTGAAGAGGGACTGGGAAAGGCTGGCTGTGTCCCTTCCCCACTGGCCAGCACATGGCTTGATTCCATATTGTCAGGATCCTCTGGGTCAACCATCTCTTCCGGATGAGATGATATCATCAGAGGGGCTTCTTCCAAGTCATCACTGTCCTCGTCATCAAGAACCCTCAAAAACACAGAGTTTAAATCCACATTGAAGGTAATTCTGCCCCCAGACCCCTTTGTGGAGCTGTAGTCCTCTTCGGGAAAGGGGTCCTGGAGTGGACTCTCTCTCCTCTCACAGAGCCCACTCAAGTGTTCCAACTGCTGGGGGCTGCACGTTGGCATCGTGGGGGGCTCTGCATCAACCTCAGGCAGCTTAGGCTCCTCCTCAGAGTCTGGGTCTACAAACTGGGATTCTGCGGAGGTGGCAGAGGCCTGACCTAGAGCCCTGAGGGTCAGTCCGTGCATGGTATAGCCACCGCCGCTTGTCCTGGGGGCTGCCTCGGTCTCACTGTCGCTTTCATCATCATAATTATAATCCCACACTTTCTTCTTTCTGTTGATGTAAATGACCTCCACCATATCCATGGCTTCCAACGGCGGCAGCTCAGGAAATGGCCAGGTGAAAAAGTTACGAAAATTCTTTAAAAAAAAAAAAAAAAAAAAAGAGTCCATATCAGCTCCTTTTTACATAATAAAACTTAATCACTGGGGCACAGAGACACACGCCTGTAATCCCAGCTACTGGGGAGGCTTAGGCAGGACGGCTGTTTGAGCTCAGGGGTTTGAGGCTGTAGTGCATTGTGATCACGCCTGTGAATGGCCACTGCACTCCAGCCCTTAGCGAGATCTTGCCACTAAAAAAATAAACAAATAAACTTAGTGAGATTGACTGCACGATGATTCGGATGCAGATGATGATGAAGACAGCAATAATTGCAGCTAACAGTTACACCGTGCTTACTATTTGCTGGGCATGACTCTTGGTGCTTTATATATAATTCACCTTTCTCTCACAACTGCTCTATGAAGTGGGCTTACTATTCTTATGCCCACTTTACAGATGAGAAAAGGAGGTGCAGAGGTTAAGAAACTTGCTTAAGGTTTGTGACTGGTGAGTGGGGGCAGCTGGCTTTCAAACCAGGCAGGCTGCCAGCCACAGAGACTGTTCTGACTTACTCCTCCTGATTTCCTCTTCCGGCTGCTTCTTTATATATATATTTTTTTCTTTATTTTTATTTTTTACACATGAACAGTCAGAGGGAAGCTCCTTTATATTTTAAGTTATTTATATACTTTTAGAGATAGGGTCTCACTCTGTCACTGAGGCTGGAGTGCAGTGGTGCGGTCACAGCTGACTGCAGCCTCCATCTCCTGGGGTCAAACAATCCTTCCAAGTACATCCTCCTGAGTAGCTGAGATCACAGGTATGTGCCACCACACCTGGCTAATCCCTACATTGCCCAGGCTGGTCTCAAACTCCTGGGCTCAAATAATCCACCTGCTTCGGTCTCTTAAAGTGCTGGATTACAGGCATCAGCCACCACGCACAGCCCTTTTTATATCTTTTTACAGGATAAATCCACTTTGTGTATATCTTCCACTGATGTAATCCAAAATAAAAAGATGATACATATAAACATATTTATTGTACTATTCATCATGGCCAAAGAAAGAAAAGAAAGGAAAAGGAAAAAAAAAAAATCCGAATGCCCTATAGCTGAGAAATGGTTAAATGAAAAATGGTACAATAATAATAATGAAATTCTACCTAATCATTATAAATTATAGGTGATGAAGTATATACATATAACATTGCTGGGAGCAGTGGCTCATGCCTGTAATCCCAGCACTTTGGGAGGCCGAGGCAGGTGGATCACTTGAGGTCAGGAGTTCATGACCAGCCTTGCCAACATAGCGAAACCCCATCTCTACTAAAAATGCAAAAATTAGCCAGGTGTGGTGGCTCATGCTTACAGTCCCAGCTACCTGAGAGGCTGAGGCATGAGAATTGCTTGAGCCTAGGAGGCAGAGGTTACAATGAGCTGAGGTCATGCCGCTCCGCTCCAGCCTGGGCTACAGAATGAGACTCTGTCTCAAAAAAAAAAAAAAAAAAAAAAAAAAAAAGAGAAAACATAATATGCACAGATACACTTATAACTGTACAATATATTATTTATAGGAATGGAAAAGAACTCAAAATGAGAAAGCATTTTGGTGTTTACAGAAAATGAGATTTTCTTCTGTGAAAAATACTTTACTATATAAATAAAAATTTTTAAGTTAAAATTAAAAGCAAAGGTAGAAATTACCAAAAAAACAAACAAACAAACAAAAAACCCAAAAAAAACAACAACCAACTACCTACCAAGGCTTTGGGGAGGCTGTTTTTCAAGCATATATAACCAATCCGTTTCAGTGTCACTAAGGTGCTTATCAAGACCAATACTATCAAAAACAGAGTAATTATTCCTCCTACTTTGGCAGATTCTGCTGATTCTGAATCTGTTGATGAAAAATGACTTTATTTTAAAAAAAATGCAATAAACAATTGCAGATGGAAATAAATGTACATTGGTCTGGTGTTAGAAGGCGATCAAGAAACCAAAGGTTTGATAAAACAGTTTTATATTGTGAAATACACCAAAGACTAGAGAATAATCCAAGTGAGCATTTTTTAAACAATACAATAGACTAAGCTTTTAAAAGTAAAATTTCCTTCAGTTTATGTTCTATAACTGCACTGTCCAATACAGTAGCCACTGGCTGTACTTGGCTGAATTTAAATGATCAAAATTAAATAGAATTAAGAGTTCCGTCTCTCAGTCATGTGAGACACATCTCCAACTTCGGTGGCCACACTAGTTAGCATGCACTGTGAGGGAGGAAGCAGTGGGGAAGGAAAGTTTGCCTGAAAACAGCCGACTGGGGTCACCGTGAGCCTGGACTTTAGCCACGCCAGGGCCCCAAATCAGGGCTCTGCAGAACTCGCCTTGCTATTAACAGTTCCCCTTAGTTTCTCATCAAAATTCCTTGTGGACAATTTCAACTTTCTGATCCTAGTTATTTTCCTGAAGTGTGCCCGGGCTGAGAAATCATTCGGCTCTCTTCTATCACTAAGGCTCCCTTGCACTTTAAGAAAGGTCTTCCTTAGTATTAATCCTGGAACTACAGCCTCAGGCAAAAACAGGTAGAGAGGAGAAAAAAGGAGATAAAAATGGATTATGTACTCTAGAAGTCTTCTAGAAAGTTAAGGCATGAATAGAAAGAAGTTCAGTAAAAACTCTTGCACTGCTAGAAAGCACATGGTTCCAGAATCCACTCTCACCCCCATTAAGAGAGTGTGAAGAATTGGATTGTCATCTCAATGAGAGTTCTAGAATCAGATCTAGCCACAGAGGCACACCTTTAATATACACAATTCTGACATGTATAGAGTTTACATTCTTGAAAAGGGTACTGTAAACCAAAATGATTTCATTGGTGAAGCAATGGCATAATACTGAGATTCTGACTCATGTACCTACCCAACTTTCATGTAATAGCTACAAAGCACTCTATGTCAACTATGTAATAGGACATCCTAAAAACCAAATTGAATAAATTGTAGTTAATATGCTAGGATAATATTCCTCAATTTGGGGTATTCTCATAAGTCTGAGAATTCTTTTTTTTCTTTTTTCACTTTTTGAGATGGAGTCTTGCTTTGTCACCCAGGCTGGAGTGCAATGGTGTGATCTTGGCTCACTGCAACCTCTGACTTCCGGGTTCAAGCAATTCTCCTGCCTCAGCCGACCAAGTAGCTGGGATTATAGGCGTGCACCACCATGCCCGGTTAATTTTTTGTATTTTTAGTAGAGACAGGGTTTCACCATGCTGGTCAGGCTGGTCTTGAACTCCTGACCTTGTGATCTGCCCACCTCAGCCTCCCAAAGTGCTAGGATCAGAGGCGTGCGCCACCGTACCTGGCAGAGTCTAAGAATTCTTTAGGAGAACTTAAACTTTTTGTTTTCGGTTTGATGATAATCTAAAAAATACAAATCTTGGCTGGACATGGTGGTTCACACCTGTAATGCCAGCACTTTGGGAGGCTGAGGTGGGTGGATCACCTGAGGTCAGGAGTTTGAGACCAACCTGACCAACATGGAGAAACCCCATCTCTACTAAAAATACAAAAAATTAGCTGGGTGTGGTGGCTAAGTAGGCTGAGGCAAGAGAATCACTTGAACCCAGGAGGCGGAGGTGTGGTGAGCTGAGACCATGCCATTGCACTCCAGCCTGGGCAACAAGAACAAAACTCCATCTCAAAAAAATAAAATAAAATAAAATCTCACTTGGGGTCATGACAATTATACATGCATGCTATTTTTAAATATAGCAGGTCATGTCTTCAAAATTCATATTTGAAAAGAGATGAATCCCGTCAATGTTCCAACTTAAAAAAGGAGAAGCAGTGATTGAATGTTACTGCTGTTAACTATCTTCTTCATGAAAGATGGGCGAGATCAACCCATCTTGGGAAGGAGAAATCAGGTCATGTCTTCAAAATTTGGCCTTGGACAAACCTGTCTGTCTCTGGATTCATTGTGGAGATATTTTAAACCGAAAGTAAGAAACCTCACAAGCAGATGGCTGTACTGAGCAACCGGGCTGGTAATATCTGATCACTATACTCTTTAACAGAAAAAGAGAAATAACCCTGTGAAAAGATTGGTGATATCTAACTTCAGTCTCCTATAGTTCCTCCCGTTATCTCTCTGTAACAAGCCACACCGCCTCCCCACTGGGTGACTGCAGTAATCAGCCCAGGGTCACCTGGCTCACACTTCAAGGCATGTGGATGTTCCCTTTACATCCTAACTCAGATCACAGTGAGAAACCTGCTCAAAACCGTCTGAGGGCCATTTCTTGCAACAGCTTCCAAGTTCTGCCTCCTCCATCCTCTCTGACCCGAACTGTTACTATTCTTCCCTCGTTCAGCTCACTCCTGCTGTGCCATGCCATGCACATCCTGCCTCAGGGCCTCTGCACTTGCTGAACCCCGCATGTGGAACTCCCTCCCCTGCTATGTCTGTGTGATTCGCTCCCTCACCCTGTGTTTGTTTCCCACTGCTACCGTAACAAATTATGACAAAGTTAGTGCCATAAAACAATACAAATATGTTCTATTAATAGTTCTGGAGGTCAGAAGTCTAAAATGGGTTTCACTGGGATAAAAAAGATTAGGTGTTAGCAGGACCGCAGTCCTCTGGAGGCTCTAGGGGTACACCTATGTCTTTGCCTTTCCTAGCTTCTAGAGGCCGCTTGCATTCCTTGGCTCATGGCCCCCTCCTTCATCCTCACTCTCTGACCTCTGCTGCTGCTGTCAGAGCTCCTTTTCTGCCTCTGAGTCTCCTGCCTCTTTTTTCTTTTTTTTTTTTTTGAGACAGAGTCTCGTTCTCTAGCCCAGGCTGGTGTGCAGTGGCACAATCTTGGCTCACTGCAACCTCCGCCTCTCAGGTTCAAGTAATTCTCCTGCTTCAGCCTCCCAAGTATCTGGGACTACAGGTATACGCCACCGCACCTGGCTAATTTTTGTATTTTTAGTAGAGATGGGGTTTTACCATGTGGGCTAGGCTGGTTTTGAACTCCTGACCTCAGGTGATCCACCTGCCTCGGCCTCCCAAAGTGGTGGGATTACAGGCATGAGCCACTGCGACTGGCCAAGATCTTCAATTTCATCATACCCACAAGCCCCTTTGTTATAGGGGTTAGTCTGTTCACATATCTGGGATTAGGATGTAGACATCTTTGGGGCCATTATTCTGCTTACCACATCTCCCTTGGGTCTTTACTCAAATGCCACCTTCTCAGGAAGGCCTTCTCTGGCCAACTGTGGTAGATGCTGTGGGTGGCCTGCCTGTGTCCTCTCTTCAGTGTTCACACCAAGTAAAAATGGAATGACCTGAGAGGACACTGTGACATGAATGTTTCTTGGTAGGTGACATGGAAGAGTCAGGAGAGAAAGTGAGTTATCACACAATTCATCAACCTTCAAAGAGCCGTCTCAGCCAGCAACATGTTCGCCCTGGAACTGGGGACTGAGTTTCAATTAACCACCATCTGTCTGGCAGGTTATTACTTTGTTTTTATTGTCTGTAGGAGTTTTGTTTGTATGTAAGATCAATGATATAATAAAAAATACATATATCCAGTCTTTGTCTCTAGTTCCTGGAGCAGAGCTTTAAAAAGCTGTGTAATTTCCTGAAAAAACGAAACTACTGAAACAATAGGAAACAAAACTATTGTTTCCTGAACAATAGGAATGTCTTTTGTTAGTCCTAACAGGCCCTTTTTAGGGGCCATATATGAGTTTATACTTGTGAGGTGACCAGGGCAAGGTGTGGATAGCTTCAGGATGAGGACTGGTCCCTGGAAAAACTAACCGCATGATCAGATAGTTTTAACTTCCAGCTCTCCCTTTGACCTCTGTCCAAGGAGGGGAGTGGGCTGGAGACTGCATTTAATTCTGCAGCCTGTAATTTAATCAATCACACCTACATAATGCAGACTGTGAACACCAAGGCTTGGGGAGCCCCCAAATTGGTGAACAGATGGATGTACTGAGAGGGTGGTACACCTGACTCCCCAGTGACAGAAGCTCCTGCATTCTGGACCCTTCCAGATCTTGTCCTGTGCACTTCTTCAATGGCTGTCTATCCATTCCTTTATAATAAGAGGGTCATCATCAGCATAACACTTTCCTGAGTTCTGTGAGTCATTTGGGCAAATTATCAAATCTAAAGGGAGGTCATGGGAACTCCTGAATTTGTAGCCAAATCAAATGGAAGTACAGGTGACCTTGGCACTCAGGACTTGTGGCTGGCGTTTGAAGTGGGGGCAGCAGTTCTGTGGGACTGAGCCTTCAATCTGTGGGGTCTATGCTAACCTCGGGTAGTTGGTGTCAGAAATGAACTGAATCATTAGACAACGAGTTAAGTGTCAGATAGGTGGTGTTAGAACAGAGACATGTACATGTATTTTGGATTTATATTTTTGAAAGAGCTATATAGTCAGGTAGAATCCATATGCAGTTTTAGGTCTGCCTGTATGTAGTTGACATTATAAAAATAACTTAAGCTAAAGGTGTCCGAGATGTTTTTTTTCCTTTAAAACCAGTCTGTGCATCATCTGGTCTTGAGGAACACTAGAGAATCAAATCAGACTGCCCTGCAGTGAGGCCCACGTGCAGCACTATATTACGCGCTAGGCAACATTCCTGTAGCTCGCTTCATTCACAAATGACCATATTGCTTTGCCAACGAAAGGAGCCAAAGTCAGTAAAATACTTGAAGAGATTTAGTCTGAGCCAAATATGAGTGACCAATGGCCTGTGACACAGCCCCAGGAGATCCTGAGAACCCCTGGTCAGGATGCAGCTTGGTTTTATACATTTTAGGGAGACATAAGGCATCAGTCAAGACATATATTGGGTAATTTCAAAATATGTCAAAGAAATGTATTTTGGGGTAAAATACTTTGATTTATTTTAGGGCCTGCTAGCTATCATGTTGGTATCTTAGTGCTACAAAGCATCTTTTTGTCAGTCTTAAGGTTTCTGTTTTAATATTAATGCTGGTCAGCTGTGTCCACATTCCAAAGTTAGGAAGGTCCAATGAGGCACGTCTAGACCACTCATATAGACCACTCATTCCCATCACGGCCTAAACTAGTGCTTCCGGTTTGGCCCTTGGCTGAGAGGAGGGTGTCCATTCAGTTGGTTGGGGAGATTAGAATTTTAGTTTGGTTTACAACTTAAAGCCATCTCTTTTTTTTTTTTTTTTTTTTTTTGAGATGGAGTCTCGCTCTTGTTATCCAGGCTGGAGTGCAATGGCGCAATCTCGGCTCACCGCAACCTCCGCCTCCTGGGTTCAGGCAATTCTCCTGCCTCAGCCTCCCGAGTAGCTGGGATTACAGGCACGTGCCACCATGCCCAGCTAATTTTTTGTAGTTTTAGTAGAGACGGGGTTTCACCATGTTGACCAGGATGGTCTCGAACTCTTGACCTCGTGATCCACCCGCCTCGGCCTCCCAAAGTGCTGGGATTACAGGCTTGAGCCACCGCGCCCGGCGCCATTTCTTTATAGAGTCTACCTTGTTTTTATTCTGGTAAATCAGAGCATTAAAGATACTTCCATTGGTGTCACAGGCATCTGAGCCAGAGCAACTCCATCTTGAATAGGAACTGGGTAAAACGAGGCTGGGACCTACTGGGCTGCATTCCCAGACAGTTAAGGCATTCTAACTTATAAGGTGAGATAGCATGTTGGCACAAGGTGCAAATCATAAAGACCTTGCTGATAAAACATGTTGCGGTAAAGCCAGCCAAAACCAACCAAAACAAACATGGCGACGAGAGTGACCTCTGGTTGTCTCCACTGTGACACTCGCACCAGCACCACGACAGTTTACAAATGCCATGGCAACGTCAGGAAATTACCCTATTTGGTCCAAAAGGGGAATGCATGAATAATCCACCCCTTGTTTAGCATATCATCAAGAAATAACCTAAAAACGAGCAACCAACAGCTCTCAGGCTGCTCTGTCTATGGAGTAGCCATTCTTTATTCCTATGCTTTCCTAATAAACTTGCTTTCACTTTATGGACTTGCCTTGAATTCTTTCTTGTGCAAGATTGCAAGAACCCTCTCTCGGGGTCTGGATTGGGACCCCTTTCCCATAACATCGGGGTAGGGACATTTAGAAGGGCTCCTTTGAGGGAGATTTGCACAGCTTCTCACTTTTGGTAAAACAGGTGGAGACTTGGCTACTTCCTGAGAAAACAATCAGCAGGAAGTCCCAAGGCTTGATTGTTCTCACTGAGTAGGGAGGAGGGTTCGGAATCACATGGCTTTCTGTTCTGATGTTTGTGTCACAGAAAAATGTTCAGCCTTCATTAGTGATTTTCTCGTACACCCTGGCAAGGCTCCCTTTCATCTATGAGCGACAGCTGATGCCAGACCACATCTAGGAACTGCACCCAACCTCGCTGTTTCCACCTTTCATCCTTTAATGCCACTGTATACCACGGTCTCAAGCAACTCCCCTTCTTCTGGCAATTGGCTTGAACAATGGCCACACTAGGGGCACAGGGTGCTGAACTTAATCCTGGTTCCCTGAAACAAAAGCGTTTCTACTGCAAGATTTCTGATCTTATCAAGTAGTGTCTGATTGTCTTTTGTTATGACAACATAGAAGTGACTCTGCCAGATCGTACACACCAACCAGCGGAAAACATCTCTGTGGTGTGCCACTATTGGAAGAAAGACCCTTACTGCTCCATGAATTGCAGATTCTTGTCTTTAAATAGGCTTGCCCTCAGAGTATAAGCACGAATTCTCAAACCATGAATTTTAAAAAGTGAACATACCTGATTCCTGGCAAGGCTGACGGAGGGTGCATTTTAAGGGAGACTTTATTACTGCCTCCTGATCTTTAGACTCAAAATAAACAGATACACAGTAGTTTGTGTTTGGAATTAACTTGTCAATGACATAGGTGAAATTTCCAGTCATGTTTCTTTTTATTTCGGGTTTATGCTGTAAAAATAAGCAAAAAATCAGTAAGACTATGAGAATTTCATTCAGAGGCAGGCCGTAAGAATCTCTTTTGGGATTTGTCTGCAAACAGAGTTAAGTTTATCACTGGCTTGGTAAGAAAAAGGATTTATAAGTCACCTGGAGCAAGTAATTTATCAAACTACATGTACATGCACTTATATACACCCGCACATACACATATTTTATAACCATGAAATCTAGTCTGGCAACTTCATTTTACAAATGAGATAAAGGTCTTCAAAGAGGAATACATGTCTCTGTGACGTCATTTTTACAAGATTATCTTCTCTCATGGATAGTGTGTGTCTACTTTACACTTGAGAAAGTGCCTTCATAAATATTAACTCTTTTGACTTTCAAAACAGTCTGCAAAATAGGCATTATCTCCATTCAACAAATGAGAAAACTAGCTCCTTGTGGCTAAGTAACTTCTCCAAGGTCAGAGAACTTGTCTGTGACAAAACTGACTGATGGCTAGTTTCTCATCTTCTCCCTTTAACATATTTATATGATATCTATGATAAAATATATACATATGATATATATACATATATATGTAATATATAATATACATCTAAAAATATCTAAGTATATGATATATGTATATATATAGATAGGACTTCAGTCTGTTGCTCAGGCTGGAGTGCAATGGCATGATCTTGGCTCACTGCAACCTCCACCTCCTGGGTTCAAGCAATTCTCCTGTCTCAGCCTCCTGAGTAGCTGAGATTACAGGCACCTGCCATCACACCCAGCTAATTTTTGTATTTTTTGTTTTGTTTTGGTTTCTCCTTTTTTTTTTTTTTTTAGATGAAGTCTTGCTCTGTCGCCCAAGCTGGACTGCAGTGGCCCAACCTCAGCTCACTGATACCTCTGCCTCCCGGGTTCAAGTGATTCTTCCGCCTCAGCCTCCTGTGTAGCTGGGACTACGGGTGCAGGCCACCACATCTGGCTAATTTTTGTATTTTTAGTAGAGACAGGGTTTCACCATGTTGGCCAGGCTGGTCTTGAACTCCTGACCTCATGATCCACCTGCCTCGGCCTCCCGAAGTGTTGGGATTACAGGTGTGAGCCACCCACTGTGTCCGGCCTAATTTTTGTATTTTTGGTAGAGATGGGGTTTTGCCATGTTGGCCAGGCTGGTCTTCAACTCCCGACCTCAAGTGATCTGCCCACCTTGGCCTCCCAAAGTGCTGGAATTATAGGCATGAGCCACTGCGCCTGGCCATCTTCTCCCTTTAACCACCTTGCCTCTTCTTTCCTATAGCTGTGTTCCACTTCAGAATTTAAAAGATGATATGATGGTTCTTTCATGAATAATAACTTTTGTGTCATGTTTTACAGCTTTTAAAATACATTCTTACTAGCAGTTTTATAAATGAGGATTCCTAGCAGCTCAAATTTAGCCTTCAGTAATAATGTTTTTCTGTAAATTTCTTTTTGGGAGGAGGAGTTAGTAAACAAACTTATAATCCAACAAACTAAAAGCTTCCCCTCCAGTGGCCACCACACGTCCTCCTTCCCTATTTGGAAAAACTCCTTAGAAGAATGAGCTCTCTTCACTGTCTCCAATTTTTCTCCTCCCTGTCTTTCTTGAATTCACTACAGCCAGCTCTTTCACCCTGACTCTATTAAAACTACTTTTATCAAGGACACAATGTTGCTTATCAGTCCTCTTCTAACTTGTCCCATTTGCAGCACTGAACTCAGTAGATCACTTTCTCCTTCTGGAATGTTCTCTCAGCCACCAGGACACCACTCTCACCCATTTTTCTCCCTACCATGCTGGTTGCTGTTTCTCAGTCAATTTTGTTGTTTCTTCCTCATTTGCCAGATCTCCAAATTTTGGAATGTTCCCAGACTCTGTCCTTGGACGTCTTCTCTCCTCTCTGAGTGTCTATTCCTGGGTGATCTCATCTGGTCTCAGGGCATTCAGGATGCGCCAAGGAGCCAATGACTCCCAGGATGTCTCTCTAGCTGGGGGTTCTCCCCTGGACTCCAGACTGGCACATCCAGCTCCTTCCCCACGTCTCCTCTTAGATCCCTTAGAGGCACCTGGAATTTAACATGTCCCAAACCCTCCAGCCCTACCTAACCCTCCCTAGCTTCATCCATAATCTTCCACAGTTAATGGGGAAGTTAGTCTTGTTCCATGTGCAAAATATTTGCAGAATTTGATGCCTTCTTACTACTCACTAGCCGTCTACTATCAAGGTCAAAGCCACCACCATCTGTTGCCTGGATTATACCCATAGCTTATTTTTTTTCCTTGATTTAATTTGAAGGCTATTTTCTTTATGAAGAAGATGCCTACTAAGTACAGTTTTTCCTCTTATAGAGTAGCCAATATCCTAATAAGCCTCAGTTTCTTATTTTAGAAATCATAATCTAAAACATGGAGTTAGTTGCTTATGGGGTGAACACAAATGAGACATGATTGAAATAGGAGATATATTAATGATACTTGACATAGTCCTTAGGCCACATAAACTTATTTTCCACCCATTTTTGCTCCTTAACCTAGAATGTTGATTATAATCCATGTCCATATTAAAGGAAAAATGGTAATATATATAATTTGTTACTGCCTATTAAGTGACTGGCACCCTGATTGTGTCTTAACTGGTCTCCTAACTCCCATCTTTGCCCCGATGGTCTATTTTCAACACTCCAGCCAGGATGCCCTGTTAAGCCTTGGGTCCTCCAGGAGCTTCCATCACACTCAGAAGACCCAGAACCACAAAGTCCTACGAGGTCCAGCCACATGTACTCTCTGACCTCACCTCCTCCTAATCTCCCTCTTGTTCACTCCATTACAGCCACCTCTCCCTGCTGTTTCTGAAACACACCAAGCCCACTCCAGCCTCAGAGCCTTTGAACTTCCTGTGCCCTCTGCCTGAAATGCGCCTACCCTGATATTTCTCAGGCTGGTCTTGCAAGGATTTTAAATTTGGCAAAGGGCTCTACAGATGTAAGCTGCTGTTACAGCACAGCCCACTGGTGAGGATGATTTTTCCACTTCCACTTATTCCAGCATTCACAGGGTAGGGAAGACAAAAGTGGAAGATCCAGGTCTGTCTGATACCAGATTACCTTGAGGTTGCTGACAGTCAGGTCCTTCGCAGAAATCGGAGAGGACAGAACCTGCCAGATGAGCCACTTCCTTACTGTGTGTGAGGGCTAGAGAGGCAGTGACAGGTGTTTTTCACAGGTGGCTCAGCTAAACCCTCCTTTTCAAAGAAACCTCTCCAGGGCTCACTGAGATTTGGCTGCAGTCTGCATCTCTCTCCCAGGCCTTCCGTCTCCTGTGTGTCCCTTGATGTTGTGCATGTGCCTTATTCTTTTTTTTTTTTTTTGAGATGGAGTCTCACTCTGTCGCTCAGGTTGGAGTGCAATGGCACGATCTCAGCTCACTACAATCTCCGCCTCCTGGGTTCAAGCGGTTCTCCTGCCTCAGCCTCCCAAGTAGCTGGGATTGCTGGTGCCCACGACCATACCTGGCTAATTTTTGTATTTTTAGTAGAGATGGGGTTTCACCATGTTGGCCAGGCTGGTTTCGAACTCCTAACCTTGGTGATCTGCCCGCCTCGGCCTCCTAAAGTGCTCAGATTATAGGTGTGGGCCACCGTGCTTGGTTGTGGCTTATTCTTTTAAAGAAGACTGTGCTGAGGTTTAGATCAATCTAGTGAATGAACTATAGTGACTTCTTCACTAAGTCCAGACCATACTGACCTGACCTTTTAGCTTTAATTGTTCAACTGCATATTTTCCTTTCAAAAGAGAGAGAGAGAGTCAAGTGCATCGACTGCCCACCAGAACTGTTTTGATTCCAAGAGGAGGAGCCACTTACCTTCTTAACAATCCCCTCTGACTGTTCTTCAATGACGAGTGATAAATCAAACTGTAATTCTTCCTCAACAACAGATGGAAATTTCACTGTCACATTAATGTGGCTGGTAAAATCAACAATCTCAAACTCTGGTGGTTCAAAAGACACTTCAGAAAACAAAGTCAGAAACAAACCCCAATGTCAGTTAATAATTGCATAACGACAACGCCTCTCATTGTCCTGGTACAACCTTACTTCTTTTAAAGAAAAGCTATTTATTTATTTACTTATTCTTTGAGATAGGGTGTCACTGTGTCACCCAGGCTGGAGTGCAGCTGCCCCATCTCCGCTCACTTTAGCTTCTGCCTCTCAGGCTCAAGCGATCCTCCTGCCTCAGTCTCCCGAGTAGCTGATACTACAGGCACACACCACCATACCTGGATACTTTTTGTGTTTTTTGTAGAGACAGGGTTTTGCCATGTTGTCCAAGCTGGGTCTCAAACTCTTGGACTCAAACAATCCACCCACCTCAGCCTCCCAAAGTGCTGGGATTACAGGCACGAGCCACCAAGCCCAGCCCAGCTACTTTCTTTTTAATCTGCCTATGATCCTAGTTGTAGCATGTGTTATTTTTATTTTATTAGTGAAAAACCGAGAATAATATAAGTGAAATGATTTAACATTACTACAGGAAATCAAGGACAGATGATTCTGGAATGGAAGCCAGTAACTTTCCCTATTTGCAGGCTATATTCAAAACATAAAATTAAAAATGACTTCTTCATATTACAATAATAATACAAAGTCATTGTAGAAATATAAAAAAATACAGATAGGCAATTGTCTTTGAATGTGATTAATTATCTTTTGTCTATGCTGTGTGTGTATAAATATATACATATACACATATATAAACTAGTATGTATATATGTATATACACACATACATATACACACACACATATATACAAACTAAAGTTGAATCAGTCTAACTTACACTGTTTTGCATGGTATATATTTTTACTTAACCATATTTCATAAACATATTAATGCATAGCTATCTACAACAAGGGCTGGTAAGCTTTGGCCTTTGGTTGTAAACTTTGGCCGTCGGTTGTAGACTTTTACAGAGCCTTCAAGTTCAGAATGGTTTTTATTTATTTATTAATTTCTTTAGAGATAGAGTCTCCTTCTGTTATCAGGCTGGAATGCAATAGTGCAATCACAGCTCAACATGACCTTGAACTCCTGGGCCCAAGTGTTTCTACCACCCAAGCCTCTGGAGTAGCTGGGACTACATGCATGCACCACCAAAAATAAAATAGGTCTTTTATTTTTATTTTTGTGGAGATAGGGCCTCACTATGTTGCTGAGGCTGGTCTCAAACTTTTGGGCTCAAGTGATCTTCCACCTTGGCCTCCCAAAGCTGGGATTACAGGTGTGAGCCACTGTGATGGGTCAGGTAAACAAAAATGGAGAGGACTACATGACAGAGACCATGTGTGGCCCACAAAGTCTAAAGTGGTTCTTCTCTGGCTCTTTATAGAAAATCTGCCAAGTCCTGATTTACATTATAATTTTTCATTGCCAATGCTATTCCACTAAGTGACTGTATCATGATTTAACTGATTCACTGTTTCGAACATTTAAATTATCTCTGATTTTATTAAAAACAAGGTATCATGGGGTACTCTTGCAGTTAACTTTTTGCATTTCTCCTTCATATTCTTTCTTTCTCTCTCTCTCTTTCTTCTTCTTTTTTTAACGTAGAGATGGGGTTTTACCACGTTGCTCAGGCTGGCCTTGAACTCCTGAGCTCAAGTGATCCACAGGTCTCGGCCTCCCAAAATGCTGGGATTACAGGTGTGAGCCACTGTCCCCGACCTTAATAATTTCTTTGGGACAAATTACTGAAGAAGAATTCTGGATTAGAGTAAGCACATGTGAAGGTTTTTAACACATGCTGTCAATTACCTTCAGATGGATCATGCCAAAGCACACTCTTTGTATTCCCTCTAAACCTGGGTATTTACGTATTTTTTGTATTTATTATTAGAGTCATGAAACGTATCTTACTGTTACTTCAATATACATACATTCTTTAACAACTCGAATACCATGACCTGTACATTCTGATTTTCTTTCTTTTCTGTGTATACACAAAGATGTCTGTTTATACACATACACAAACATGCACACAATTCCAGTAAATCTCATATCCGGATTGTTTGCCACAGTGGGATTCAGTCATCCTTACCACTTTGCTATGTGTGTGTGAGCACACGCACACCCACACAGCCTACAACAGGGGACTGAGACCGAATCGTTCTCTTGGAGACTGGTTGTAAAGTGGGAATCGAAAAAGTAACAGAGCTGGGGCTGTTAACATGGTGCATTAGGGAGCTGACTTGAGCCATCTGGGAGGCTGAGACCCGTGGATCACTTGAGCTCAGGAGTTCAAGACCAGCCTGAGTCCTAGGGAAAGAAAGAAGGGGCGGACCTGTTCTTGGGGTCCAGTCTTCTTTTCTGAGCTTTGGGTCTTAGGTGTGTGCACACCTGGTGTTTACACACACAAGAACTACTGGTTATAATGTGGGGCTGGAGTTGCTATATTAAGAAAACACTGGGGCCAGGCGTGGTAGGTCACACCTGTAATCCCAGCATCTTGGCAGGTTGACGTGGGTGGGTCACTTGAGGTAAGAAGTTTGAGACCAGCCTGGTCAACATGGTGAAACCCAATTTCTACTAAAAGTACAAAAAATTAGCTGGGTATAGTGGCGTGTGCTTGTAATGCCAGCTACTAGAGGCTGATGAGGGAGAATCACTTGAACTCAGGAGGTGGAGGTTTCAGTGTGCCAAGATCATACCACCACACTCCAGCCTAGGTGACATAGAGCAAGACTGCATCTCAAAAAAGAAAGAAAAAAAAAACAAAAACACTGGGCCAAAGAGATGGGACAGCTTAGATCCAGCCCATCTGAACCAGGCTCCACATTTCCTGTCAAGCTGTGAAACCGAAAAAGAGCAGCTCCCACTGCCTTATATAGGCATTGGGTGAAATCAGCAAAGTATAAACTATCATTCCACTTTTCAGATTAAAAAATCCACGGCCGGGCACAGTGGCTCACGCCTATAGTCCCAGCACTTTGGGAGGCTGAGGCAGGCGATCACCTGAGGTCAGGGGTTCGAGACCAGCCTGACCAACATGGAGAAACCCATCTCTACTAAAAGAAATTAGCAGGCGTGGTGGCGCATGCCTATAATCCCAGCTACTCAGGAGGCTGAGGCAGGAGAATCACTTAAACCCGGGAGATGGAGGTTGTGGTGAGCCGAGATCACACCATTGCACTCCAGCCTGAGCAACAAAAGTGAAAACCCCATCTCAAAAACAAAAGAAAAAACCCAGAAAACCAAGGCTCAGAGAAGCAAGGCAGTCCATGGTTACAGAGCTAGGAAGTGGCAGCCAGGAGATGAGCCCAGCCCCGAGTCTAAAACACCTTTGCAGACCTCCTATTTCATGGAATAGCGAATAATAATGATCTCGATGATGAGGACGAGGTGGAGAAACAGAGATCAACTCACTGTCCATGGCCAGCCAGAAAATGTGTGTGCAAATGAGCAAGGTTGTGTTCCCGCTGAATCCTTCTAGGTTGATGAGGTAGAGCTCGTGTGTGCTTTTCCACTCATCTGTGAGGTCACAAAATGATCTCGTGGTATTTGCACAGTTCTTAACCGTCTTCATATCTTCTGGTTTACTGTGGAAACAAACAAAAAAAAATGGGAAAAGAAGAGTGTTAACTTTGATGGAATGAGAGGCTATTTTTTGGGTGCCTCACTTCACTGTTTCCTTTAGGCTCTGCTCAAATATCACTGTATCAAGTGGTCTTCCCCAACTATCTTATTGAAAATGGAACATCTTACGCCCTCCCCTACCCCTGCACTTTCAATCCCTCTCTCTCTTCTCGATCGTTCTTCGTAGCATTTACCCACACCTGTCACATTATGCCTTTGTTTAGTGATGTCTCCATTTATATAATGTCTGCTCCAAGAGGGCAGGGAGTTTGGTTCACAGTTGGACCCCCTGGCATGTAGTAGGTACTCAGTAAAATTTGCTGGATGAATAAATCAATGAATGAATGAAACTTGAGCACTCATGGTAGAGGCCTCAGATCTCCCTCCCTCTATGGGACAATCATGAATGCCTTTCCTGAGAACCCCTCCCTCTCTGGCTAAGACTAGATGATCCAGTCCTAAGTCAGACCTGGGCTATTTCAGGGACAACACAGACACCTCATCTTCCAAGCTTCAGAAAGTTAGCTGGATGATACATATGACCACTCAATGCAGAGAAAAACTTTTAAGACTTTAGCAGGCACCCAAGAGAAACTCACAAGAGATCTTCTTACTGCTCGGTCAGTAAGCAGTACCAGCAGCAGCTCTAGGCCAAATAAATAATCAACAAAAGGACATCCCAAGGGACTGCTGGGTCAAAGCAATGACTTATAAGAGTGACTGGTAGGTGTGGGAAGAAGAGACAAAAAGGACTCCCTCCATCATGTCATGAATTCTTACAGCAACCCCTCTGCAGAGCATTAGCTTAGGGGCTGACCTCTGTGCCAAGTGTCAAGCCGGTTAGTGACAAGACCAGACTTTGGACCCAGGCCTGTCCCAGACTAGGTCAGGCAGCTTTCTGGTGTCCCACCACAGTAACGAAAAGTGAACATAAACCATCAATACAGTCAACAGACCTTTGGACTCCTGTCCCCAGATAAGAGGACTTTTAAACATCCAGACTGCTTGAATTAGAGAAATCACTGTCAAACCCATACACAAGAATTATTTTGTATGTGAGGTTCTGATCTGTAGAAATTGGCTTTGATGATATATATAAACTTCGTCAAAATAGATTTGGATTATTATTCAATTTAATTAAAAATGGATATATGATGGTGTTTCATTTTTGGCCTTTTAAGGCTCTGAATAAGAAACACAGAGAGAAGGGGAGGTAGACAGGAAAAGGGAGAGAGAGAGAGGGAGGGGAAAAAAAAGATCACCTCTTCTCCCACTCCCCATATAACAGAACAATAAAATGTTTACCAAGAGAAGATGAAATACCACACCAACCTCATGATTGTGTACACTAACGTATAGTGAGTTGGTACGATGGAGTGGTTTTTTAACTCCCATGATAAGATGGACCGGAAATTTCGCAATGATATCTTTACAGTGCAAGATTCATTTGCATAATCTAAAGAGAACAGGAAAAAAGGCATTGAAATTTGGAATCCAAGGTTGTATCCTGGCTACTGTTCAGTCATTTCTTGGGATCTAGAACGCACACCTCTGGCAGATAACCCCTCCAGAGAGCCCTGGGGTCTTGAAAACAGGAAGTCTACTGGACATGGGAAATCAATTAACAAGTTAATTAACGAGCAACATGTTGTCAGGGCAGGCAAGCATAGGAAACAGGAACTCTGCACTGTATAAATAGAATCTGGACAGAAGGGCTTCTTTACCTGACTATCCTTAAATGGTTCACTGGACCAAATGAACCCAGGCCACCCCAGCCCACATGATGCATTTCCTTTCTCTCTCCCCTACCCATTTTTTTTCCTCAAGCCGTTCTCTCAGCTCAGCTCCCAGTTCCTCCATGAAATCCTCCTTAAGTAGCTCAGCCCATTGCAAATTTTCCTTCCTCTGCATTCCCCAGCGCATGTATTCTCCGGATCACAGAGAGCCCGGGAGTATAACATGTGCCCAGACTGGCCCTTTCTAGGCATTTAAGCCCTGTAACAATGCTGAAGTAGGCAAGACAGACCGTGAAACTGGGTTGAATTATACAATGCCATGCAGTTGGGAAGTACCAGTGATAAACCAGACATTAAAGCCACATTTGCCAAATTCTGCCTTATATGGTTAAATTTTTAAAGATCATCTAAGTTTCCTGTGGTTAGGGCCCAGGCCTTTGTTCCTCAATTGCCAATTCTTCACCCTCGACCAATGCTTAGCACAAGGTTGGACGCATATTTAATGGTTAGTGAAGTTTTGTGGACAGATATATTTATGTAGCAAGAAGTTTAGTTAAAAAATTATCTTCCTTTATCTGGAACAAGCAGGAAGAATATAAATTAAAGAGGAAATATTTCTGGGCCATTTTTTTGTCTGGCACAGTCTGTGTCTCCTCATTCTTCTATTAGTGAGATTATTAAGAGTTTGAATATTCTTAGAAGTCTTAAAATGATCTCTAGTGTTAATTTCTTAAAGTAGTTTTATGTCTCTGGGAAAACCAGAGTTAGTTCATGTTAGCTCCTTTTACAGAGAAAGAATCCCAATCAATAGGCAATCGACGTACAATCAGGAATCGAATCTCCCACATTTTATACCTCTGAATGCCCCAATACTTTCACTCTTACACAAAATTTGTGAAGCCAAAAAACATCTCTTACCAGGCAAATCACGTGAAATACGAAAGGCGAGGCTGATACACACTAGGAAGAAGAAAACACATTAGAGAAGCAACAGTTTTATCTGGGTTCAACTTGCAATGGTAACTCTAAGTCTGGAATTCTTTAACACACATTTACTACTATCAGATTGAGACTTTCCATGTGCTAAAGAAGAATGCTCATATAGATGGCTTTTACTCTACATTGGTGCCAGCATCACATGGTTCAAGGGCTGAGACCTGAGTAGATCTAACATAAGACCCATTTGGGAGCTGACACTAGCAACAATATGTATGGTCCCTGTTCTGCCCCACTTTTTCCACTTAAAAATATATTTGGGACTGGGCGTCGAGGCTCATGCCTGTAATCTTAGCACTATGGGAGGCCAAGGTGGGTGGATCACACAAGGTCAGGATTCAAGACAAGCCTGGCCAACAGAGTGAAACCGAGTCTCTACTAAAGATACAAAAAATTAGCTGGGTGTGGTAAGCATGTGCCTGTAGTCCCAACTACTCCTGAGGCTAAGGCAGGAGAATCACTTGAACCCAGGAGGCGGATGCTGCAATGGGCTGAGATTGCTCTCTGCATTTCAGCCTGGGTGACAGAGCAAGACTCCATCTCAAAAAAAAAACAAAAAAAAAACAAAAAAAAAACGCTGGGTGCAGTGGCTCATGCCTGTAATCCCAGCATTTTGGGAGGCCAAGAAGGGCAGATCACTTGAGGTCAGGAGTTTGGGACCAGCATGGCCAACATGGTGAACTCCATCTCTACTAAAATACAAAAACCCAAGTGTGGTGGCGGGTGCCTGTAATCCTAGCTACTTGGGAGGCTGAGGCAGGAGAATCACTTGAACCTGGGCGGCAGAGGTTGCAGTGAGCTGAGATCATGCCACTGTACTCCAGCTTGGGTGACAGAGTGAGCAAGATTCTGTCTCAAAAAAAAAGAGCTAAGATTAAAAAGTAGCACTTACCCATGAGAAACAAAATAAGTGATCTGATGGCGGAGGCATTCCAGCTCAAAAGCATCTTTGCTATTTTTAGGCTCTTCTTTTGACTTTTACATCTGAAAAGAAATCAACATTAGGTGATCAAAATTCTGGATTGTCTAATTAAATTGCAAATATAAAAATGGGAGCCAAGACAAGACAACAGAAGACCTGTAAGGAACAGCAAAATTCCTGGCTCCAGGAACTGGGGCATTTCCCCATTTATTCAAGTGAGTCTGCTCTCAGCTTCTGGGCCCAATCCCCTAACTACTCAGGAAGGAATTTTATATTTAACTTTTGAACAAGCAACAGTCATTGGGTTAAAAAATTTTAAGCATACAGAAATTTTTAAAAAAAGTGAAAAGTATTGCTCCCTTTATAAAACCACTTTTATTTGTGTGTGTATCCTTCAGTGTCTTCATGCATAAGCAAAAACAAACACATATTCCTAATTTTCCCATCTTTTAGACAAGAGAGAGCATGTAGAGTCCTTGTTCCACCCTGCTTTTTTCACTTAAAAATATATTTGGGAGATCTTTCTTTCTTTGTTTTTAAATTGGTTGCATAATGTTCTGCTTGATGCACACACCATCATTTATATCATTAGTTCCTATTATAGACATCTGAATTATTTCCAGTCTCTTCTGTAAGGAAATCTCTTGGATATGCCTCATTTTGCACATGTGCTGGTTTAAGTGTGGGAACATTTCCAGAAGTAGAATTGCTAGACAAAGGACCTATCAGTTAGAGTTCAGGCAGGACATAGCACATTCAAATTAGGATAGTTTTTTTTTTTTAATAAATCTAAGGGGTACATGTGCAGTTTTGTTAGATAGATATATTGTATAGCAGTGAAGTTTGGGCTTTTAGTGTATCCATCACCTGAATAGGATACGTTATACCCATTAAGTAATTTTTCATCCCTTGGCTGGGCACGTTGACTCACATCTGTAATCCCAGCACTTTGGGAGTCCGAGGCAGGTGGATCACGAAGTCAAGAGAGCGAGACCACCCTGGCCAACATGTTGAAACCCTGTCTCTACTAAAAAATACAAAAATTAGCTGGGTGTGGTGGCGCATGCCTGTAGTCCCAGCTACATGGGAGGCTGAGGCAGGAGAATTGCTTGAATCTGGGAGGTGGAGGTTGCAGTGAGCCGAGATCGCACCACTGCACTCCAGCCTGGCACCTGGTGACACAGAGAGACTCTGTCTCAAAAAAAAACCAAAAACCAAAAACCAAAAAACACACACCAAAAAAAAGGCTACCACTCTGAAATGCTTTTTAAAAAAAATTTCTCATCCCCTAACTCCCCACACGCCCTCCATCCTTCTCAGTCACTAATATTATTCCATACTATATGTCAATATGTGTATATTATTTATTAATAGTTCCTACTTAGAAGAACATGCTGTGCTGATTTTCTGTTTCTGAGTTGTTTCTCTTAAGATAATGGCCTCCTGTTCCTTCCATATTACTGCAAAAAACATGATTTCATTCTTTTTCATGGGTGAATATTTTGTGTATACATATATTTGTAACCTGTATTTTTTTTTTTTTTTTGAGATAGGGTCTCGCTGTGTTGCCTAGCCTGGAGTGCAGTGGTGCAATCATGGCTCACTGCAGCCTCAATCTGCCAGGCTCAAACAATCCTCCCACCTGTCTCCCTAGTAGCTGGGACTACAGGCATGTGTCACCACACCCTGACTAATTAAAAAACATTTTTATTTTTTTTTGGTAGAGACAGGGTCTTATTATGTTGCCCAGGCTGATCTCAAGCTCATCCTGGATTCCTACCTTGGCCTCTCAAAGTGCTGGGATTACAGATGTGAGCACTGCACCTAGCCACATTTTCTTTATCCAATCATTTGTTGATGGACACTTAGGTTGATTCCATATCTTTGCAACTGTGAACAGTGCTATATTCTGAGAAATTCATTGTTAGGTTATTTCATTGCTGTGTAAACATCATAGAGTATACTTAGACAAACCTGGATAGCATAGCCAACCACACATCTAGGCTACAAATCTGTGCAGCACAGTACTGTGCTGAATACTGTAGACAACTGCAACACAGTGGCATTTGTGTATCTGAACATATCTAGACACAGAAAAGGTACAGTAGAAATACGGTGTGATCTTATTACACAGGAGATGGCTTCCTTCCTTGCCTCCTGGTGACTCAAACTTCACTTGGAACCACATGCCTGATTACTAGATACATTAAAAGAGAAAATGGTTAAGAATTTCAGGCCACTGTCATGTAACGGTCCATCTTTGCCCAAGACATCATTAGGGGGTGCAGGACTGTATTTACAAATGTGTGAGCGGGCTGCAGGCAAACCAGAAGGGAGAGTATCGAACCTGCATCTCACAACATTGAGGGCTGTGGCCACTCTGGCCCTGAAGGAGAAGAGAAGAAGCCAACACTGCAATTTTCAAGAAGAAACTCCCACATGAGCAGCTATGACATGAGACCACTGGATACAGCCAGACCAAGAGGACAGTGCAGGAAGGAGGCTGAGGGATCAATATCCCTCTCTGTGTCCCTCCCTTCTCTCATGTGGGGCTCCTCATCGGCTGAACACAACCAGAAGTCATAGGGCAAGGGGCCTGGAATTGTATCCTTACCAGACAGGATCCCGGGCCAAGTGCGGGGGGTGGGGGGCGGGCTGGGTCTGAAGAAGCAGACATTAGAGACCTGGCAATGGGACTATGCATGTGCAATTTGAACAGAAACTGTCATGCCAGCCACCCTTGGGGCTGTACCATTTACATAACCACCTGTAATGCGCAAGAATTTTGGTTTCCCTACTATCTATTCTTAGAGGTATATCATCAACTCTTGGATTTTTCTCAAATTCATAAATGAAAACTTGTCTTTCATATTAATATTAATGTGTATTTCTCTTACTCTAAGTGTGATTGAACATCTTCATCTTTTCATAGGTTTAAATGCGATTTGTATTTCCTTTCTGTTAATTGTGCCTTTGGCAATTTTTTCCACTGAGCCGTTGCTATTTTCTTACTGGTTTGCAGGGGCTTTCTTTAAGTAGAAGGGAAACTGTGATATGAGTCACATCTTTTTCTTCTCTCCCCAGTTTGTCACTTGCCCTTTGAGTGGCTTGTGCTGTTTAAAAAAACCAACCCCACTCCCCAAAAAAACAGCCAGAAGTTTTTGTTTCATGTTTTCAGATGTAAAGGTATTTTCTTTCTTAGCTTCTAAATTTTGAGGCTCAGTCAGAAAGTCTTCCCTACTCCAAGGTGAGAAAGGAATTCTTAAGAATTTTAAGGAGCTCCAGTAGATTTTGTTCCTTCTCTCTCTCAGATATGTTGTCCCCATCCACTTTACTGAGACCTATAGATTGTTGGCATTCTTCTGTCTCCCAAACATTGGGGAAATATCATCAAAATGAAAAAAAGACCAGGAAATCGCAGACTTGTCATGGCTTGTGGTGACTGTCTGTGGCTGGTGGCAGAGAAGACTTTACTGTGGCAGTTTTGGTCAAGAAAAACAGATTTATTAGAGAAAGTAAGAAAATACATTGCAAGGGAGCAACGGGCAGGTCAGCAAGAGAGGCACTGACAGCCAGGAGACAAAGGCTTGCTGGGGATTTTATAAAATGCAACTTGGGCTGAAGAGTGCTACGTGCAGGGCTGACGCCAGTAGCAGGGGACTAACTTGCATTTTTCTGTCAGCCGAGATGTTGGGTAAGTTGAAGCATTCGATAATAAGCAGGAAGATTGTGAGTTATGTATGTTACCTGTGCAGGAGGGCCACATGTCCTGGGCCATAAAGAAAGGCAGACCTATAGCTTGTCTGCTTCTTCTTTTTGTTTGTATGTCCTGGGCCATGAAGCAAGGTAGACCTATAGCTTATCTGCTTTATCTCTTTGCTTTCCCCTAGTCCCCCCAGCCTGACTCCTCTTCCCTAATCAGGACTCCACAAGACTGAGTTCAAGCTACAAACAATGTAATGTTAAAGTCTTCTTTGCTGCCACAGTAGCAGGTCCAATCAGGGGTATTCTCTTAGAGAAATCCAAGCGATTCCAAGTCAAAATTACCAGCCTTGCTACAGACTCCACCACCCATGAGATATCCAAGCGTGACTGCCTAGAACTAATCCCATAATACTGTACCCATTGAGAAACATCCGCTGAGATACTTTGATGTGTGTTGTCACTCCACAGCAGAGGGGTGGCCCAGTTGTGAGCATTCCCCTAGATATCAGCACACTCAGACTGTAGAAGGGCAACTTTTTCATTTAATTTTTTGAGACAGGGCCTTACTCTGTCACCCAGGCTGGAGTGCAGTGGCGCAATCTCGCCTTACTGAAACCTCTGCCCACCTCAGTCTCCCGAGTAGCTGGGACTACAGGCATGTGCCACTATATCCGGCTAATTTTTGTATTTTTTTAAGAGATGGGGTTTTGCTATGTTGTCCAGGCTGGTCTTGAACTCTTGGGCTCAAGTGATCCTCCTGCTTCAGGCCCTCAAAGTGCTTGGATTGCAGGTGTGAGCCACCGTGCCCGACCAGGGCAACTCCTTTATACTTTTAACACCTAACCTGACCTCCGACCTGTGGCCTCTGTCTCCAATGGTGGCACATCTTCATCTTTGTTATATATCTGCAGGAACACTCAGTTTCTTCAGCAGCTGAGAAAACACACACGCACGCACACACGCGCACATGCATACACACACACATATATACTCTTTTTATCTCTCTCTCTCACACACTCTTAGATGACCCACTCCCACTTTCCCCTCTCTGGGCCAGGCGATGGCTTCCTTCCTTGCCCCGTGGTGACTCATACTTCACTTGGAACCACATGCCTGATTACCAGATTCTTTTTCCTGGGAAAACATAATGTCCCATCTTGGCTTCCTGCCTGAATTGTTAATGGAGCTCCTTAAAGCTCTTCCTGACTACAAACAGATCAGTCTTCCTAAAGCATGGCTCTTTTCAACAGGGCTGGTCTCAGTCCCCCAGGGCCCTGCAGCTGGAAGGATCCCACACTTGGCTTAAGGCTCTCCTGTGGCTGTCCTGAAATTCTTAACCATTTTATCTGTTAATGTATGTTTAGCTCTCAGAGCCCCAGCTCACACTTGGATCCTTCCCCACCTCCTGCAGGCTGGGCTCTCAGCAGAGGAATCCCAGGCCCTGCCTGGCTTCTCTGTCTATGCCTAACAACTGCTGCTGCCCTTTGCATGGGGCTTCAACTGGGACCACATTCTACTGAAGCCCTCCTGGTGCAGACGCTGAAGAGGTCAGGGCCAGCACTCTAGTCTTGCCCCATGGATCGGCATCAGAGGACGGCTGGCTGGAGGTTGGGTGTGGCAGGGATGAGTCTCTGGGTCACTGGTACCTAGTATGTCTAAGGCAGAGATGTAAAGACCCCTGGATGTGGCCACTACACTGGGGGTTAGGATGGTAGGTACTTGGGAAAGGGAGATACCAGGCTTGACTTCCCCAGAGCCTGCCCTAGGCTGGATCAAAGGGCAGCTAGCAGAAGGGGGATACTTAGAAGTCAGGTGCAAGTGCATGCATCCTACAGTCACCAGGGCAGAGGGGCCTCGAGGACCTGTGTGAATCTGCTTTGACTCCCTTGGTATCCTTGTGCCTGAGGGAAGGCTCCCTTGGGTGCCTCTGCCTGGTGGAGACCCTCGCTTCCTCTTTGCAATCTTCTGTCTGGCTTGAGTGAAACTCCTAAGATGTGCTGTAATGTACTAATGGTATAACTTGGCGATTCCACGTATGAATTAAATGCTCTAATATTTGCCTTTAAACCTGGTTTTGCATAATGTAAAGAACTGCAATATTTATGCTAATAATTCAAACTTTTATTTTTTACTTAGAATGATATTAAACAGCAAATAAAAAATTACATGTTGAGAGACAGGGACTGTGGAAGAAAAGGCTTTATATTTTAGCATCTTTTGTGGTACTTTCTCCTGCATTTTTATTTGGTTCTAGGTAGACTCTGCATTATGTAGTCAGCTCAGTCTGTACCTCCTTGCTGCCTGACAGTACACCAAGCTCCTTAGGTTAAGTTCAAGGCTATCAGCCTTTCCAGTTTTTCTTGAAGTTATTGTCCTGCCCTTGAGCTGAGCTCCAGGTGACAGGTCATCCCCTGCTCTTGTCAGAGGCACTGGAACCCTTGTGACTCCATCTTGAGTAGCGACTAGGTAAAATGAGGCTGAGACCTGCTGGGCTGCATTCCCAGTGGATTGGGTATTCTTAGTTATAGGATAAAATAGGAGTTCACAAAGATCCTGCTGATAAGACAGGATGCAGTAAAGAAGCTGGCAAAAGCCTGACAAAATCAAAATGGTGACAAAAGTGTCCTCACTGCTCATTATACACTAATTATAACATATTAGCATGCTAAAGGAAACTCCCACCAGGGCTATGACAGTTTACAAATGCCATGGCAACATCTAGAAATTACTCTATATGGTTTAAAAAAGTGAGGAACCCTTAGTTCCAGGAACTCTCACCCCTTTCCTGGACAACTTACGAATAATCCACCGATTGTTTAGCATACGATCAAGAAATAACCCTAAGTACACTCAGTGCGGCAGGCCATGCTGCTGCTCTGCCTGTAGAGTGGCGGCCCTTTTATCCCCTGACTTTCTTTTGCTTTATTCTGTCAGCTTGCTCTTGAATTCCTTCCTGTGCAAAGTCAAGCACCCATGTGGCTTCCCAGGCTGAACCCCAATCTTGGGTTCACCCTGTGACACTCCGGTCTTCTCCATTCTGGGAGAAGAGCTCTACCTGGGAGCTCTTCCTGCTATTTACCGAGATCAGACAAACCTGCCAATTTTCAAGGCCTAGATCAAATGGATGGATTCCGTGCAGTGATTCTTTGAATTCCAACTCCTCCTAGAGGGACAAACAACCCTCTAGGCCTCACAGTTTCCTGGCAGAAGGCATGGTGGTCTCTTTTCTTCTATCTGACACAGACTGATTGCCAGTGAGTCAGTGAATAATGAATGAACTGGATTCAGACATTGCCAGGGAGTCAGTGAATAACGAATGAACTGGATTCAGAAATGTTAGACAAATACAATTACATATCTTTTTCAGGAAATTAGAAAAATATGAAAAAGTACAAAGAAAGTAACACTCATCCTTATTCCTACCATCCAGCATCAACAATTGTGAACATCTTGGCATATCTGATTCTAGTGTATTTTTCAAATATCTTTCTTTTTTCTTCTGTAAGAACTATTATCATCACTAACATTAGGTAGACATAATCCCACAGATCTTTCCATGCATATGCATAAACACACACACACACACACACACACACACACACACACACACACACACACAGTGTTTCTGTTTAACGTTACTTGGGAAAAAACTAAAATAAAGCCAAGGGAGTCGTTTATACTTTCTTATGGACAAAGTTTTTAAATGTTAACAATATCCTACAATATCCCTCTAAGGTTTTAAATAAAACTTATGACAGATATTAGAAAGTTGTAGTATTATATATTCACATAGCACCTTTTAATTTTTTTTTTTTTCAAGACAGAGTCTTGCTCTGTTGCCCAGGCTGGAGTACAATGGCACAATGTCAGCTCAATGCAACCTCCGCCTCCTGGGTTCAAGCAATTCTCCTGCCTCAGCCTCCTGAGCACCTTTTAATTGTGTATCTTATTTACTATTCCATTCTTTGAATGAAGAGAATATTGATATCCTGATACTTCCTTCCATCTTCCTCCCCAATTTCTCTCTCTTTTTTTTTTTTGCTGTATATTTTCATCTAGATTTGTAACAATCCCATTCTATTCAACCCACAATTTCTACAGCTGTATTAATTCTATACTTAAATAGAATACTCACCAAGAGTTTTTGCCATTCTCTACTCTTAAGTTCTTTATTTTATCTCTTAATTTGCTATTTCCTGAATTTTATTACTCAGTAAGTTTTTGTTTTTCCAAAAAGGGTTCATGGGTGCTGAAGTCCCTTTGTTCTGGAAAAAATACCCCCTCCACCACCGGCAAAAGTTTCTTTCCCTTGGAACTGTTCCCTCATAACCATCATAGTCTGGCATTTAGTGCTGCACTGAAGTTTGAGGCCAGTTTGATTTTGTTTATCCCTCCTTTACTTTTTCTTCTTAGATTCCTAAATAATTGTTTTTCTTTGAATTTAAATAGTTTAAGGTATCTTGGTGCTTCCATATGCCCATCTGACATTTTCTGGAGCATGGCACATTCCTTTGGCCTACAGACCGATTTTTCTTCATTTCAAAGAGCCTTCTTTGGACCTATTTTTATTAGAATTTTCTGTCCCATTTGGTGAATTTTCTACATCTGGGACTCCAATGGTTCCAATGCTTTGATTCTATTTTGCTTGCCTTCCACAATAGCTTCTTTCTACTTGTCTCAATCTTTTTCAGCTGAATTCACTGGGCTTCCTCATGAGACTTTCCTCTATTAAAATACTTTTATTTCTACAACCATTTGATCTTTGACAAACCCGACAAAAACAAGCAATGGGGAAAGGAGTCCCTGTTTAATAAATGGTGTTGGGAAAACTGGCCAGCCATGTGCAGAAAGCAGAAACTGGACCCCTTCCTGACACCTTACACTAATATTAACTCCAGATGGATTAAAGACTTAAACATAAGACCTAACACCGTAAAAACCCTAGAAGAAAATCTAGGCAAAACCATTCAGGACATAGGCGTAGGCGAGGACTTCATGACCAAAACACCAAAAGCATTGGCAACAAAACCCAAAATAGACAAATGGGATCTAATCAAACTCCACAGCTTCTGCACAGCAAAAGAAACAGTCATTAGACTGAATCAGCAACCAACAGAATGGTAAAAAATTTTTGCAATCTACCCATCTGACAAAGGGCTGATATCCAGAATCTACAAAGAACTAAAACAGATTTACAAGAAAAAAACAAACAAGCCCATCCAAAAGTGGGCAAAGGATATGAATAGAAACTTTACAAAAGAAGACATACATGAGGCTAACAAACATATGAAAAAATGCTCATCATCACTGGTCATCAGAGAAATGCAAATCAAAACTACATTGAAATACCATCTCACGCCAGTTAGAATGGCGATCATTAAAAAATCTGGAGACAACAGATGCTGGAGAGGATGTGGAGAAATAGGAACACTTTTTACACTGTTGGTAGGAGTGTAAATTAGTTCAACCATTGTGGAAGACAGTGTGGCAACTCCTCAGGGACCTAGAAATAGAAATTCCATTTGACCCAGCAATCCCATTACTGGGTATATATCCAAAGGATTATAAATCGTTCTACTATAAGGTCACATGCATATGAATGT